ATTCCGTTCCACCTCCACATGACTTCTTGCTCTCACTATTTCATCAGAGCAAACCTCTCTTTCTCAAATCTGGCATAAGCACCCCAGTTTAATTCTGTAGAGCGTTCTAATTAAGTAATTGGGCAACACAGCTGAGATGCGACTTCCCTGCTGGTACCACCTTTTGCAGTGTACTGCAAGCTAAAGGAGAGTTACCAAGAAATGTTGGTAAGATGGTGTGAACAGGGTTACAGCAGAATATTTCCATAAATGACAATAATCAATCCGCATCTTAACAAGATGTTGTTGAAAGTAATTTGTATGATTCCACAGATGTGAGCTCTGCTGCCCAGCCAGCTCCATTTTTCATTTAGTCTGTGCTTGATTTAGCCTGAACAACATTGTCAAACGCTACATTATGCATGACATATGTTCATTTGTTGCCCTTCCTGCTCCCCCATCGCATCCGTGTGCCAGGGGCTGTCTGCTGTGTCTGGTCCCAGTCTGTGGCTCTGTGGCTCCGTGCACCAGGCGCTGCTGTTGGCATTCCTGCTTCTCTGCTGTGCCCAGCACAGGCACAGCCTTGCTGAGTGCCACAGCTGGGGAACTCGTGCTCTCCAGCAGGGCTTCAGGTGCCAGGGAGATGTCCTACAGCGGGTGCTCTTGAGTTGCAAGATAAGGCTAAAGCCCTATCCCATCCTGTGACCAGCAAGTCAGGGGTGCCAAGCCATCCACCAAAGACCTGCGTCTCTGTCACATGGAGCATCTATCTTTGGGAATCATGGTGGCTGAAAGGGCATTAGAGTTTTGGTTGAATTTGGGCTTTGGTTGTTCTTCAACACCATTACAACTCTCATCCCTTCCCCCTTTCATCCCACAAATTCTGTCACTTCTTTTGGTGGTAGTTTTATCATTATGACTATTCACAGACACTAAATACTGTTAAATACTGGAATTGTCTGTGTGTGGTGGTTAGAGAAAATGTTCTCTTCAGTTACTGCATGTCTGCAGCTCTAGATAGGTCTCTCAGCAAATAGTGTAGTTTGTGATACTCAAAGGGCAGCTGGTCTTTGTAGAACTAGTTCTTGCATTTATTAATGGCTATGTTAGAAAGGTGACTATTTATTTAGAGTCTTGATTTTGTTAACTCATGATTTAAAAACCAACAACACTGATTTCCATTCCTTGCTGCAGGAGGACCTTCTGCAGGAGGATACTTTCTTTTAATGCTAAAGAGAACTAACAAGTCCATAGAGTGGAATAATATAAACACAGTATTAATTATTACTATTTCTCGGCAATGTCTTCATTGCTAGGCTGAAGGCAAAGAATTAGAAATGGTTTTGTTTTGGTTTTATCATAATTTAGGAGACCCATTGTCAGATTTCATAAAGGAGAACAAATACGCCACGGAACATCTGAAACGTGTTTTTTCAAAATTATGTTCTGATTAGTGCATTCAGGATTTGGAATAATAAGCAGGTTTTAAATTCAGTACTATCAGCAAGTTGGGATCTTGCTTTTTTGTGTTTCTTAGAGGTGAATGGAAAATGTGCAGTGTTTTTAGTACCATAATCTTTCTGGCAGCAGCTATTTGCCTGTCAGCCTAATACTCCCACTGGCCGTTGGTCTGAAAGCTGTAGCTGGTCTGACATAGTCCTTTAACAATTCATCCATGCCAAAGCTGTTAAAAGGCACTTATTTTTCTTCAAACTCACAAGAGAGAGTATGCGTGCTCACATTTTTCATCAAAAAAGAAAATAAATTTCAATCCAGAGTGAGAAATGTACAGAATCTGTATCAAGTAAGTGGGAAAGTGCCCGTTTTCTGACAGTGAATGTTTCTGCTCAAGTATTTGCACTGGATTATAATGAAGCTTTGGTTAAGCAGATTAAATAGACAAAAGCAGTGAAACTTCAAAGGCTGACCAAATGTGCTGAGGTTTTATTTCCCTGGCCTGTAATGCCTGCTTTTGCCTTCCTCTCATTAGCACAGAAAAATAAGCCAGTGGAGCAGAATGTGTTGTCCAACTGTAGTGCCTACAGTGACTGATTGCTAACAGGGTTTTTAGGTCTGAGTATGTAAGGTTTTTTTCAACGTAGCAGTAGCTATTAGACCTCCTATAAGAGGGGTTTTAAGAATGACTGCTCAGCTGAGAGCTCAGCTGTATTTCAGAGCTCATTTTAGATACCCAAATGCAAAAGCTTCCTTCTAAACACAGATATTAAGTCTGTGATTTAATCCAGTGGTTAGTTAACTGTTTTTACATGAAGCACACAAAATAGCAAAGGCAACTCTGGTAATCTACGAGGAATAAGGTAAAGCAGTACTCAGTGACATGGTGTAGAAATACAAGCTGTTTTGATATTTCTAGCTTGCGTTTTCCAGTATTCTCTATGGAACAGTTAAATTTGCAGCATCTGTTACCATTTATATTTTGAAGGGTGTTTCCGGCACTATGGGGTTGATTTGGGCATTTATGTCACTTGGTCAGTTGAGGTCTGAAATTTTATTTGGGGAAAAGAAGTGAATATGTTTAAAATATATAAAATATTACTAAACCCCAAATTACTTAAAAATGAAAATGCATAACTTAAAAAATAGATAAATGAAGTAACCTCTGTAACAGGTTCCTGTTAAGCTAATTTTATAATATTAAAGGTCATAAGCTAATATGGTGCATATAAGCATGAGTAACAACATTGCACGTAGTTGTAAAATAGCAATGACTTTGGATACCATGTGGTTTTGTGTTAATTTTGAAAAACTTGTGTAATTCCAATTAAATAGACTTTTATTGGCTCTCTGAATTAGCAATATCTGGTTCTGAACAGGTAACCAGCATTTGTTTGATGTAAGCAGCCACCTTCACAGATCACAGAGCCTCGTGGGTCTCCCTGTCTTGGGTGTCGTCTTCTGTGCTTCTCTAGAACTGCACCTCAATAACTAGACTGATGCTATAAACTAAATGCATTTTCTGAGCTCTATATCTAAAAATACAAGATGACAAGTTTTAGCAATAGTAAAAGCCTTGCCAAAATATGTATAAAAAGAACCTTTTAAATATTTTGGGTTTTTCCCAAAACAAAGGTTTTTCAGGTTCATTTGAAGAAGTATGGAGTTGAGACAGGAAAGCTGACCAAGTTGCACGGCCTTTAGATATTAAATTTAATACTCTCTTCCTTCAAAATTTGCTACATAATCAAGCTCATTATGTTAAATGCCTAAAATATATGCCTTTCATTCAGGAAACAAGTAACATTTGTAGCTATATGACGTTTTGTCTGAGTTCTTCACTCTTCCTCGCTCTGTGATGCTATGATCTCCCAGACAACTCCTTTTAAAATGTAATGAAGGGGTTCTGCCTTGGTAAATCAGTGAGTATATCAAGAGCAGGAGTGCAGGATCTCCCAAACTGCTGACCACAAGGCATTCTGACTCAGAGGCATCTGAAAGAGGCAAACGTTCACACACCTGGATGGATTACGGACAGCTTTCTCATGAAATAGAAGCCTGGGTTTGCAGCTTATTTGCAATTATTTGCAACGAGTGAACTTCAAGTAGTCTCCCATTATTTCAGACATAATGGAGGAAATAAAGAAGCCAGACAGGAACTAACAAGTCAACAAAACAAAGGAACTTCAGAGACAGCTCCTGCCTCATACAAGAAAAAAAAATGAACTACCACACCCTCTATTCATCATCCTGTGGACTGCGCAGCGCAGGGGGCTACTCCAGTCTCCAGGCTCATACCAGACAGCCTGACAGAGCATTCACCAGACAGAAATCTGCAGTTGACTTTCTGAAGTCAGGAAATCAGCAAGGTTTTTAGTTCTTTCTCTAGCAAAGGCCCATTTTTTTTGTTTCAAGCACCCTGAAAGTTCTTGTGTTCTTTTTAGCTTTTGTCTCTGCAAAAATTTCATTTCGCTTCCACAGAGGAAACTAAAGCAAAACCTGCGAAATTTGCTTGCTACTTGAAAAATGAACTAAGACACAGTTCCCTAATTCAAACTTTGAAGAAGCAGCTCTCATCAGCAAGGCAAAGTTACCAGTGTCATCGAATCGTGAGTGCTTTTTAACATTTTTTATTCCTCTAGAATTAAAAGGCTGCTTTTGAATTCACTTTTTAAAATTCACCACTAAGTGTTGGTTTATTATTGCCATCATGATGATGCTTTGTCTTGCTGATGGTTGCAGTGACAGAGAAGGCCTGGGGTCTGCAAGTAAGAGCCTGCAGCTCTTCCGGAGCTCACTCCCTTCAGCGTTCCTGGACTCAACTGGACCACACTTCTGCAACAGACTCTCTAGCCACATCCATCATTTTTGTTCTAGCTTGCGTACACATCATTGTTTTTAAAAGGGCTGTGAGCTTGGTCTAATTTCTGGGTTGCAAACACAATTTTATTTTGTCTTCAAGGTTGTTTTCCTCCTCCTGTTTCACAGAGACACCACGCCTGTAGAATTTGTGCGTTCTCTGTCAGATGTTCTTTCAATTTAAGGAATACCACTTCCTGAGACACATCTCCTTAGTTGCCTTAGGAATGACTGGAACTTGATATACAATAGGGAAAAAATGATTTTGAGAAGATTGTTAATCAAGCAGGGAAAGTGTTTGGGAAGCAATTTGTACAAACAAAGAGCAATACTAAAGTATTATTTGGAGTAAATACTATTATTCTATTCATGTCATAATTTATGCTGGTTTTCTGTACTACTGTGAGTCCCTTTACTGTTTAGTAAAACAGGAAGAAGCAGCTGCATTTTTGGTAGAGCTTCAGTTAAACCAGTATCTGCGTGCATAAAGGTTTTACTCATATTCAAGGTTTGAATTTTATCCAAGTCATGGAAAATTCACATCACCTACTTGCTTCATGAGTACGTGTATCTGGTGTTTAAAAGTGATTTAACAAATTCAGTGCTTGTTTTTAAAAACAGTAGCTGAAAATAGAAGGCAAATGTTACTGTATCTGCCACACAGAAATATTTCAGTATGTTACTTCTTATTTTTTCTCCCTTTTAAGGGTCAAAAGGCTTGGATAGAGAAGACCTTTTCAAAAAGAGAATGCATCTATGTAATTGCCAACAACAAAGACATTAGCAGGTAACATTTGAAATTTTTGTTTTGGCCAACTGAAAAGGTTAATGCTGAAGAAACTTGATTTGATTTGTATTTAGATGTGTGAAAGTGAGACCCAGTTTACTCACTGCCCTTAAAGGGAGATAACAGAGGAACAAAAGTGCAAGACCTGCTTGCACTCAAATCCATACAGAGCCATGGGTCATGTCATACAGAGACATCAGGGCAGCAGTAGAGGCAGTGAGTTGTTAGTTCTGAGCTTTGCAAACCAAAGCACAAGTTCAAACTGAATTCTGAAAGCAAGGATGCAATAATGTGCACTGTGAAGCAAGTGATACTGTTCTTCACAGTTGGTATGACACTACCAATAACAATACTATACAAGGGGACTGGAATTCTTAGTCCAAATATTAATACTACTGCATGAGCTAGCTAAATTGTGGCCCAGCTTGTTTGGATAACATAACAGTTTGTCACATAGTAGCTGTCACTTCGGAGTAAGAAACAGATGGTCACTGCTCCTGTTCTGCGTTCTTCCTCCTTCCTTGTCCTCAAACAGCTTTCCAGTGGATTACAGAAGTGAAGTGATATTGTTAATCTTTGCTTATTGAGAAACACCTGCAAACTGGTAATTCTGGCATATTTGTGCAGGTAAATACGATAACTGTGACCTAGAAGAGGTGTTTCTATGATTTATGTAGAGCAAGGCATGGTCAGTTGAAAATCTTATAATTTTTTTTTTTTTTTAATCACTATCCTATATTGAAGACACTTTAATCAAAGTAATTTCAAATTTTAACTTACAGGTGCTGCTGTGGCCAGCTCATTAACCAACATATTCCACCTCCTCCAAGTATAACAGCTAATAAAAATGGAGAAGAAACAAAGCAAGTGGAAGCTCAGCCAGAGAAATGGTCTGTCAGTAAACACACCCAAACATATCCAACTGATGCCTATGGAAACCTTGAATTCCAGGGAGGAGGACATTCAAACAAGGCCATGGTAAGGAGCATAGGCTATTCTAAGGTATTCATCTGTATGTTAGCTTAATAGGTACGTGTCAGGGTCCATGCTCACTCAGTGCATAAGCCATTGAAATCAAATGAGATCTCTTTGCTGTCTCAAAAAAGCATGGACAAGATGCTCAAAAAGAGAAAGAGAGAGAAAAGGCAAGAGAAAAATAATACCTCCTTAGGAGACACCTTGTAATGTCTTGATGAAACTGTTTCCTTGAAGTTACTGTCAGTGAATATCAGCTAAGGAGGCAGCTGCATGTATTAGTGCCCAAGATTCCATCTCTTTGTATTAGATTTGTGGGCCAAATAACCCAACATGGATACATGCTTTTTCCTAAGGCTTGAAGTCTAATAAAAATAGAAATTAATCTTGCCTTCCTGAAAGACAGAGGCCTGACAGAGCTGGAAAATAGACTGTTGAGCTTTCTTAGCAGCAGATGTAACAGCAAGCCAAGCTTTTGCAAAACATCTCTTTCTGATTTACCTCTCTTCTGAACAAATGCAAACTTAGATTTGTTTCTTTGACCATTTGCTTTCTTGTCTCTCTAATGAGATTGTCGCTCAAGACAACCACACTGTAAAAACGTGCCCAAAATATATTAGAGCAGTTGGTGGGTTTTGTCAGTAGTGGTTTGGGGATTTTTCACAATGGAAGTAAACACTAGTTTATTTCATAGTTTTCTTTGATAGAGTAGTAGTTTGAAAAGAAATCACAATGGTGGATCTAAACTGGGAATAATGCGAATTATTGCTTTGGAGGCAGAAATATGTACATCAACAAACAGTGAATAGGATAAAATGTAACCTAAGCCTCCTATTTATTATGAAGGTCCTAAACCAGAGGTTTTAGGAACAACACAAAACACCTTCCAGTCAATTTAAATAGGTGGCTTCCAACAATGCAGGTTTGTAATAAGAGCCTAGAATGGATCACTTGATTGCAGTCTATTTTGCATCTGAAGAGAGGAAAATGGTGTTATTAAAATTCATGAAGTAAACAGTAAATTCTCAATAGCAAAGTGAAAGGTTTCAACCTATTTTTTCTAATCATAAGCAGCAGAGAAATTTAATAATGTGTTATTTAAAAATTGTAAAATTTTTTTAAACTGGAAGTTTACCCTAACCATTCTTTGCTTAGACAGTAGACCATATACAGAGCAGCTGGAGTGATGATATTACACATTGCTCTTTGCAGTACATCCGTGTGTCATATGACACTAAACCAGATTCTCTGCTGCATCTCATGGTGAAAGACTGGCAACTGGAACTGCCCAAACTCTTAATCTCTGTCCATGGAGGCCTCCAGAACTTTGAAATGCAACCTAAATTAAAGCAAGTGTTTGGAAAAGGTCTGATAAAGGCTGCCATGACCACAGGGGCTTGGATTTTCACTGGAGGTGTTAGTACAGGTAAGCAATTACCAACACTTAGTTTACTTAAGAATTTGGTGATGTTCACTCACTAATCTTTCCTGCAGGTAGAAGATGTAAGTCTACATGAATGAGTCATTAGCCACTAGACCAAAAAAGGAGTGTTGTAATCATTGTGTTAATATCCTGCCCAGCCCCGCCCATAAGATCCAGTATAGATTTGCATTACTCAGTGTTTCCCCTGAAAAAAAATATTTCACCCTTGGTTTCAGTAGCAAGGAATCTACTACTAGTTAAAAAACTTCTTTGTTTCAGTTGCTGGTTATCCTGGTAGTTTCAAAATCTCCTACACCAGATTTGCCTAGCTTTAGCTTCTTGCTGGTTTTTGGTACACAGATCTCTCAGTTACTAAAAGTATATTTCCTGAGCGTGTTTTCATACACAGCACTTCTATGGAACTCAGCCTGTGCAGTTTGATAAAACTCTCATGCTAAGCACGTTTTCCAGTCCCTCAGTCATTATCACACCTCTGCTTTGAACTCTCTCTAGTTTTTTAACAGCCTTCTTGAATTTTGGACACTGCAGTTGTTGAGGCCGTGCTTGGTGAAGCTTTTAATCCCTGAAGCAAAGCATTCTTTCTGCCTCCATTTGATTCTTCCCTGTTCATGCAGCCAAGGACTGAGTTAGCCTTCAGGCTGTGTGATCTCTCAGAGAGTTAGTGATCAATTGATAATCCATCTTAAATGCCATGTCCCTGAGTCACTGTCTCCATGAGATCCCCCACCACCATACGTGCACACTCTCTCTTGTAATTATGTAAGGTATTTGTTCTTACATGAATGACTGTAAATTGCCAACCTTGAAATAAAAACCTGAAGTCAGTTGTATATGTCTCTACCTGAGGACATTGCAATCTTCTGTTTGCGTTTTCCTCTGGTTTTCTGGCCACCTGACACAGTTTTGTTTATGGGTTTCCTTTTTGACCATATCTAAAACATCAGTTTTACAGCAACTTCATGTAACTCAACCAGTGTTCCTGGATTCTGTCAAAAAACAGTGTCTGATATGACGTCCAAAATTTTAAAGACATGTTGAAAAATAGCTGTTTTGATGATTCTTTGTATATTGTGACATTTTGAGACCAGTTGGTTTTTAATGAATTTCATTTATGTTAATATAAATTCTGAGTGATCTTCAAAAACCAATCAGATGCACACCTTGATTATAATAATCTTTATTTAGCTGAAATAAATCTTTATATCAAGTTATTTCTCAGAAAACTATGTAAGATAAGAATGAATTCCTTTGACTTTTGTTTTACAACAAAGGCCTTTAAGGGATGGTGATACTTGTTATTCAAAATAATTTTAAAGTGAAAAAATATTTCTTAGATAACTATAAGGTTAGGTTTATTTGCTTGCTTAGAAGCCAGTTATAGCATTCCTTATGTGTTTAGCATTGTGTACAATGAATAATATAATTCCAGACAGTGGTACAGATTTCCCTGTAGCAAGTTAAGTACATCTTTTAAAGACTTCATTGAATTCAGAACAAGGATGTGAAAAAAATGGGATTTACATGCAAATACTACATATGTCTGTGTTGAATGTTCTATTATAAAATAGGGATAGCAGTTTAGTATTGAAAGCAATCCGGAAAAGCTGGCTTGTGATTGCTCAAAAGTGCCAAGAATTAATTAAATTAATTGTACCTATAGGTGTCATTCGTCATGTGGGAGATGCCTTGAAAGATCATTCTTCCAAATCCAGAGGACGAATATGTGCCATAGGAATTGCGCCGTGGGGCATTGTAGAAAACAAGGAAGATCTGATAGGAAAAGATGTAAGTTTTTAAGGAAATTCCTGTGTAATTAGTAATGTCAGCTGTTAAAAAAAAAACAACCAAAAAAAACACTGTTCATCTTTTTTGAATATTATTATCACTGTTTCTAAAGCAAGCCTAAGAGCTGAAATTGAACAATGTCTTGAAGAAAATGTGTTGTTTAGATGTTTTTGTCAGGTTGTCATATATGACTTCAACATAAATATGGAGTTAGTGAGGTTTCCATTGTTTACAGTAATATCTGTATGTGGTTTAGGTTTAGAGTTTAGGTTTTAGAGTTTTAGGTCCCAACTTCAGTGTGCCATGCTGAGACCTCTGTACATCACCTAAGGGCCTTTATGTGTACAAAACTGGCATTTACTGTAAATGGGTACTCTGCAGTGGCATATTAACAACTAGGAACTCCAAATGAGACTGTATTTTCTAATGCAGTAAGAGGTTTATGTAACACAGTGTGTGATCAAGCAGAGTACATTAATGAGTTACGTTAATGAGCTTAGTGGAACATACAGAGAGAGTGCACAGATGTGACTGTCATCCTCCAAAGAAAACACTGCTGTGAAGAGTTCAGGTTCTGAATGTAAAAGCAAGCTCCATCTCTATTTCACCTCTGTTTCGCCTGTAAAAGTCTGGTTGATTCGTTTCCTGATAAGGCATGTGCTCCTGCTGGGTGCTGTGGGGGATTTTCGCCTTTAGTTCTTAGTTCTAATCTAGGTGCATGTATCCTTTTGACACACAGGTAACCCGGGTTTACCAAACAATGTCAAACCCTCTGAGTAAGCTCTCCGTGCTCAACAGCTCCCATACCCACTTCATTCTGGCAGACAACGGCACGCTGGGTAAATACGGAGCTGAAGTCAAGTTACGGCGTCAGTTGGAAAAACACATTTCCCTCCAGAAAATTAACACACGTAAGTACAGTGGGGCAATCTGTAAACATAAGATGGTAAGGGAAGGGAGGGAAGAAGGGCTAGAAATACTTCAAGGTATTGGAATTAAACGCTTCTTCCCGTTCTGTCTAGCAGGAATTTGATCGGGACTGTGTGACTAAAATAGAACATATGCTGTCTGATAAGTGGTAAAAGAGCCCACATCTAACAGCACGGAAAAGTAAGGATTGCATAAAGGGAGAAAGAAAGGTTGACAAGTAATGGCAAGGAGAAACTTCAAAGCAGTAAGAATTAAAGGACAGGGAAGTGTAAAGAATTTGTGCATTTCTAGCTAGAATTCATAAGCATCAGTAAATACACAGGATGGGGTGATGTTATACAGTTCCTGTTTACAGGAATCCCATGCAGCTCGGTGGTTTCTGATTCCAAATGTTCATACTAACAGTTTCTCTGTTATATTAATTTGTTTCACTTAAATATGACACTCAACATTCTTTGATCTTCCAGATAAACTCAGCTGGGATTTTTATTTTTAATGAAGCCATTATCAAGATAATTTCACATTAGTCCTTTCATATTTTCAGTTTTCTGCAGTTTTAAAATTTCTGCCAGTTGGTGCAGCCTCTCTAGAACAACTTTCTAGAATTCTTTTTGTCATTACTTAGGAAAAAAAATGTTTTAAAAGACACTTGTTCATTAACATTTTTGTGGAAAAAAAATATATTTTGAAGATTAAATTAATGAAAAAAATCAGTAGCTGTGATTTTCCAGCAGCTTCAAAAAAACCCCCAACAACCGCCTCATTTAAAATGGTCCAAAAAAAGTTAATAGTCTTTGAATCCACACTTTAGTTAAGAGCGACTGGTGAATAGACATCAGTTCTACCATTGCCTTTGTGACTTCTTACAGATTCCGTTGTAACCTGTGTAGGCCTGTATAAATCAGAAAAAAGAAACATTCAAAATGACAGTGGCATTGAACTCTACAAAAGTTTCTAGGGTTTAAGTAGGGTTTAAGTTCTCTTATAGGTAGAGCAGACAAATGAAGTTGCATGCCAGGTAAAGCTGAAAGGTGCAGTAAGAGATACCTAAATATTCTAGAAAGTCTTTAAGTCCTGCTTTTTGCCTACAGTAAGCTTAAGAAACTGAACTCGCCAAAAATGATGCTACTTGCCTTTGAGTGTGGAGGCAGTGTGCTGCACTGTTTCCCCCAGACAGTGGAAATACCTAAATTTAGAGGTGCTTTTTTCAGCTTTGTCTTCTGCAGAAGTGCTGGGAGAGTTGTAACATTGTAGAAGGGAGCCCTGGCTTGGAAGATAAGGAGGTCAGGGCCCAGAGGCAAGATGTTCTGTAGCATTTCTTTTACTACCACTGGGGCTGGGGATATTGGTTCTGATTTAAGTAGTGTTTGGTGATTTCTGTCATGAGTAGGGCAAATTTGGGAATACGCATAGGAATGAGGAGTTGTGTGAAGGGCTGTGGTACACCTATTAGTAACAACATACAGGGAGTTGTTTTGTTTCTTTTTAATCACTTCAAGCACAGGCACCTCTTCTGGAAATCTCTGCAGGAATCACTAAGGATTTCATGGACACACAGGCCGGCCCATGCTCTGTGACTCCTTATCAGAGTTGGGGTATACTGACATGAGGATGTCAGGAAGCTTCTCCTGTTACTGTGCATGATGTTCCTGTTCTCCAGAGAGGAATGAAGGTTGACAATATGAACTCTTTCACGCGTTCTCAGCCGTACAAAAAAGTGCATCTTCTTTATAAAGTGCTGGTCATTTTACAGATTAAGAACTGAATTCAAATGATTATAGTAGTGGGATTAGTCAGCCTTCAGGTAATGTTTTATCCTTCATTTCCCCAAGTATGTTGTGACCAAGGCTACTGAGACCATGTGACCTGTGGGCTTCCCTTTGTCATCCTATGCCTGGAGATCACAGTGAGGCAGGGACAGCAAAGGGATGCTCAGCTGTCGTCTCTTCCATCGGCCAGCCATTTCAGCCTCATGATAATAAATACTAATGTCATATTTTTTATCTTAGGAGAAAGCATATGTCAGCTCACTGAAGACTTCCTGTAGGTAACCAAAGAAGAGTTAAAGCATCAAAGACACAGTAGCTGGGAGCCATCCAAGTGACAGTGGAGCTAATGAAGTAATAGGAGAATCACATTAGCTGTTTTATCTGTACATGGTGTCTGTCAAAAAAGATTACAAACTTTTCACCAACAGTGAGCAAATAAATGATCAGTATGGGGCTGATGCAAAAGCAAAGGCATAGAAACATCTTACTCTTTTCCTTTTGGGGCTTTGAAATGGCATATGGACATCTTTCCTGGTGTTGGCCATGAAGTGGCCATCATTTTTCCTGACTGCTCTGGTTTGAAGCTCTGATGCAGAATTACTGCTCTGATGGTTTAACATGGAAGTCATATCCACTCATATCTCAACCTCTTTAAGTTTCAATAACACATCTTTTTTTTGTTTCTGTTCCTCTGTTTTTTGCAGGGCTGGGGCAAGGTGTTCCTGTAGTTGGTCTCATAGTGGAAGGAGGTCCCAATGTGATCTCCATTGTCTTAGAGTGTCTACGAGAAGAACCCCCTCTCCCTGTCGTGATATGCGATGGTAGCGGACGAGCATCAGATATCCTGTCATTTGCACACAAGTATTCAGAAGAAGGAGGGTAAGATTTTGAGCTCTTTGCCAAAGCTGTGTCTTGCTGGGGTGGACAATATAGGACTATATGCCTTGCTTTCATTAAAGCTTCATAAAAAAACACTTTGGGGACAAAATGCTGACAACAGAGGTGTTCTGCTGTCAGTCAGCTTTTGTTGCCTGTTTAATCTTAATGAACAGAAATTGTTACCACTTGGCACGTATTTGATGGTCCATTGAAATAAGCTTGCTCTCAGTGCAGCACACTGTCATTTAACTGCTCCTTTAAAGTTTCCTACACTGTACTGGGTGCTGGGTTGGGCACGTTAGAAGCAAAGAACAAGTGGTTCCCAAGAATTATTCTCTTTCTCCGGCCAAGGCTGAGATTGTTTAGTGCTTGTATTTGCAAAATTTGTACTGCTTGATTCTAGTGTGTTCTGTGAATGAGCTTTATTCTCCAAGAGTGCCAGACCAGCTGAAAAAATGATGGGCTTCCTTCTGTTCTCTTGCTGTTTCATGCATCTGTGATGGTTCTTCAGGGCAGTGCTGCCTGATATCATGATCAAAGTGGAGGATGTTTTCTGGAGTGTTCTGCTCCGCAGCCCTCCTGTCAGTTGCCCAAATGAATCTGTGAAAGTCACTCCAAATCCAACGTTTTCTGGAATCTATTATTTTTATGGTTGGTTGTCCGCTCCTTTGGTTGACAGAAAGTACGGTTAGTTTAAAGAAGATACAAAGCATGTACTAGCAGCATAAAGCTCATCTGCACTGCAGAGTAAAGGAGCTGTCCTGACAAATACTCCAAGTGGAAGCAGAGTATTGCATTTTTTATTTAAAATATTGCTTCTCCCAGGCAGGTAAGATACATTCCTCATTGTCATTGTTAATGTCAGGATTTTATCTTTAGTAGCCACATTCAGGCAAAACCTTAGTATAATTGTCTTGATTAGGGTATGGCACGCCTGTCTTGCAGTGAAGAAATGGCCTATTTCTTTGATTGAAGTTGGAGCTTAGCTTGGATTAAATATTAAGCAGACAAGTAGTATTGTCAAGCAGTGTAGATGTTATTTGCTGAACTGGGAGAGCAGCTGTGATGCTGGATTTTTTTGATGTTTACACATAGTACATATTTAATCCTACTGACAGTATTTATGATTCAGCAACTTCCTTTTCCTTTCTGTTGACCAAACCTCCTTAGAAAAAAAGAGAAGGAAAGTTTGATCTTTTTCATTCATGCTTCCTTTCAGCTGACAGGTAATTGAAAGAGCTTACCAGGATCAGTCTGTCTGAGATCTGCTCACTGCATGGCTTTCTCTCCCAGTGCATATGATGCAGTATCCAATTTTCCTCTCTGATAATTATGATGAGATAAATGTGTTCATCTGGTAAGGCAGGTCTGTAACACGAATTTTTTGTCAGTCCTGCTGTCTAAAAGAATCGTTTTCTCACAACGAACTTTGAATTTTACTGCACTTTGCAGGCTCAGCTGTCTCTCTGCTTTGAATGCCTGCTGGTAATGTTTGCCATCATCTGAAAATACATGTCTTTTATTAGGAAAAGGTTGAAGATTGAAGGGCTCTGTTTCACATTGCTTTGAGAGAGCAAACATTTCTGACCTTTCTAGGATGTTTTCGATCTAATTTCTTTAATCGTCTTTTGGCTTGTTTATTTCTCCGTTGGGTATTACGAAGTTTCAGATACACTAGCAATTTAAATCCTCTGTTTAAGAGGATAACCAAGGTGACACATCAGTAGTGTGAAATATTTTTGGTTTTTTAGTTGTATGCAAAGGGCCTTGCAACATTTAGAGGCAAAGGTAGGGGTGCCATAAGGTGCACTGCTGAAATACTGAAGACTGAAGTTCTTAACAGAAATATATCTATAATATTTAGCAGGAGTAAGAGCTACCCGCGTTATATTCCAGGGTAAAAGGATGGTTTGAATTCCCTGCCGGTTTTTAAATCAGTGCTGAGGTGCTGAGGTACTGAGGTGCAGAAGAGCCAGTCTGAGTATGAATTTCCTGATTACTGTTAATTCTGCATGAACTCCTTACCTGTACAGAATGCAAAGATGCTGTGTGTTTTTCAGTTATTTGCAAAATGAAGTCATTGCACTGGTGGATGAAAAAATTGTTTCTCAAAGAGCAGGCCTTCTGAATATATGTTAATTCTGGAAATGTCTTCTTGTATGTCTCATTTTTAATTTAGGATAATAAGTGAATCCCTTAGGGACCAGCTGCTAGTTACCATCCAGAAAACATTCAACTACAACAGGAATCAAGCTCATCAGTTGTTCATCATTCTTATGGAGTGCATGAAAAAAAAAGAACTTGTAAGTGTCCTAAAAGACTTTCTACCAGTTGTGTATTCTCCACACTGTCCAAAAATACGGCTTTTTTCCAGAGATTATGCTGAGAATTGGCTCATGCTCCTGGCTTTTCTTTAAAATGTTGATCTCAGCTGCCAGGGAAATGATTGCTTGCGTATCTATACATTTCAAGATAACAACTAAATACTTAAATGCCAACATCTGGTGCTGAATTCCCTTTAGTGTGGGAGGGATTTCTGCTAGAAGAGAAGGGTCCATTTTAGTTTTATGTCTGTTCCTTTATTTTTGATCAGATTTTGATACTACATAGTTCTTGGGTTCATAAAAGCCAGAATATACAATTTTAAATTATTTTTAGCAACATATATTTATATATATTTGCCAGAACTAAATTTTCTAAGGATTAGAAATGCCACGTGGAACAGAATATGACAAATGCTGGATTTTCTAATAATGCAGCTCTGTACTGCAATCAAATAGACACCTATCCACACTTTTTTTGTATGCATTCAGAATCATTACTAGTGTGACCCGCTGACTATATAAAATCTTTCTTAAGGGCTCCAGATGTTAAGTCTTTAGATTGTCTGAGTAATGTAAGTGTACTGTTTGGGTATTTACATTTGTGTGGTGCCAAGATTAGTTCCGTACATACACCTTCAGCAGATGTCACGTCGGTAATAAGCATGACTATGATAAGGTGACTGTAAGAGAGTCAGCTTTGCTAGAAGAATTGATCGAGAAAAGAAAACACACAGTTGCCTTAGTCAAACTGCTTCAAATTTAAAATGCATATCAGAGCAGGCCTGATTTACTCAGCAAAATTCAGACACTTGACTGTGTCAGGGGTATTTTAGGATAACTGTATCAAAAGAATTTAATTAAATGCTTCTGTGAAAATTGAATTTCAAAGAAAAATTGAGTAGAACTGTATTTTTCTGAAAAATCTCAAGTCTTAGAAAGTAATAAAGCTTCACCGTTCTGCTCTTTTTTGTGTCTGCATGTTTAGTCTCTCTCTTTCATGTGTTGTAATTTTGTGTTTGCTATCCTTTAGATTACTGTGTTCCGCATGGGGTCCGAAGGGCAACAGGACATTGAGATGTCTATCTTAACTGCTCTCCTCAAAGGTGGGTTTTGCAAGCAATTAGGAGGGATGCAGAAATTGATCCCAAGAAGATAGTCCTATACATTGTCTGAGTATTCACTCTTGATGTTTAAGTCTTTGATTTATTCGCTTGGATTCTAACAAGTAACCCAAATATGCTTGGCTTGAGGTTCAGATTAGCTTGAAGTGTTAAATCTAGATTGGATGTTTTGTATAGCTTTCCTCACCTGAAAGCCTGGGATGAGAATGCTGCAACTACACTACTGATATTTCAACACATTTTATTGCAATTCTAGCATATATTAATGAAGTTAGAAAGAAAGGTGGAAAGATTAAAACACTATCTGAATTTTTCAAGGTCTCATGTTGTGCTTTTTTAGCCTTAGGGCAAAATTTAGGATCATTTCCATATTTATTTGGAGTTATGTTTGCTGAAACAACTATTTTCTGTCTGCAGACATATAGTAGTTGATACGGGCTCGATATGGGATCACTGGAGTCCCCAAAGCTAAGACATAAAGAGAGGAATTATTATACTTGTATCTACAGCATCAGCCAGAGAAGCTGAAATGAGTAGTCCTTTAGAAAAGTTAAATGTCTATCTTTAGCATCAGAACATAAAGTCAATGTGGATGCTTTACGGAAAAACAGGAGAGAATCTGGTTAATCATTTTGAAATGAGAATTATGGACTTAAATGGAAGATGCTATAAATTGATTTAATGAATCCACTGCTTTGTGGTGGAATTATTCTAATGGCAGTATGATATAGAGTCAGTGCTGTTTTCTAGTTCTTGGAGAAGTGAAGGCCTCTTGGAGAAGGTGGAGAAGGTTTTCCAATCTTGTTTCATCGCGCACAAAATACTAAACGTCTGTGTGTTTCTCTTTAGGTACCAATGCATCTGCTCCAGACCAGCTCAGCTTAGCTTTGGCCTGGAATCGTGTAGACATTGCACGCAGCCAAATCTTTGTCTTTGGACACCACTGGCCAGTAAGACAAAGTTTTCCAAGTCATACTGTTTGTTAACAGTTTAAAATAAGTGGTTGAATATTCACACCTTAGATTTTTTTGGCAGGAGAAACACTATTGAATTCTGCTTTATGCCAATCTGATGTAGGATATCTCATTAAGAATGATCTATTTTTTTTAAATTTTCTTATACTACCAGTTGCAAATATTTAGCAATACTTTAAACTCTCTGAATGAAAGAAAATCAATTTCATGACAAGCATAAAAATAACTTTATTTACGTTTCCTCATGAGATTTGAAAGCAAGAAAAAAAAAACCAACCCCAAAAAGCATTTACTGGAAACAATCTGTGGCCTTACATACAGCTGCACAATAGCAGTCCTGGACCCCCCAGTGAACTTGTGTGATGCACTAGCATTGCTGAGACTCTGACTGTGTCATGGACATGTGCTAGCAGTTGGCAAGGTCCCCAGCTACCTATTAAAGTGTGTGGCAAGGAAATTCATGGAGCTGCTTAGTTGGAAGGAATTGTGTTGCTCAGCTCATTAACAGCTGTGAAAATCAATTTGGATTAATGGGGCAAAATCTTGATGTCCAAAAGAAACCATTGCAGAAAACAGGCCTCTGGCAAGCAAAGCTGTGCCAAATGAGCTAAGAAGCAGATCTTCAGTAAAGCTTTAGATCCTGAAATTGGATTTTCTTTCTCAAATTATTGGAGTTTGACGCTGCGCTAGTTGAAGTCAATTGGTGAAGGACTGCAGTGCCTTTGTTCATCTGTGTAACTAAAATCCTCTATTTACACCACTTTTATGTCTCACTGTATTGATGCTTTTAGCTTTACTGTGTGAACCATCTGGTGTTGAATTACTATAAAGTGTCATGAGGAAAGCGGCTTAAAAGAGGCAGTAAAAATGAAGTGCAAGAATTATTTAAAAAAATTTTAAATTAGATGTCTTTCCTGAAACTATACAATAAAAGACACTCAAAGGAACTCTGTTCATGTGCACGCTGTACATAATGGTGAGATTTATTTCATTTGGAAGCCCGTATAATTAAATTTAAATGAATGTTGCTACATATACTGTTTTATTCCTTCACTTACAGTAATGAGATGTTTTCAATATTCAAGGTTCATCAAAATGCTTATACAGAGAGATTATGAAGTATTATTACTATAATACATTTATTTGCATGGAATGGTCCATCTCCATATTATTGTGGTTAGATTCAGAGGTACCATGTAGCAACAGAAGCCAGTTACTGCTTTGGCCTCTTTCATACAGTGTGACAGTTTGTGGAAGCAGTATCACCAACTGCGATTCGCTGGCATTTCAGATTCCTGCAGATTGCTGCCAGACTGGCATGTGCTGCAAGTTGGCAGTCATGGTTTTGTCCAGGCTTACGAATGGATGGATTCATGGCAGCTAGGCAAAGATTTCCAAGACTAATAAAACCACAGAAAAACAAGCCTTGCTAAAGGCTTGGTTCTGCAGTTCTCAGTGCAGAGCACGGGGCAGTTGTAATCCAGTTTTCATATTGGTGGAGATCACATAACCTAAGCTTTAACTGGAGCAAGTCAGCCCTCAAATTCACAGACAGGTAGCGTCCAGTTACTTGCATGTGTGCCTGCCTGTCTTGAGTAGATAGGCTGGAAGAGTAAATGTGTCTGAAGAGGTATAAACAGAAATATTGTCTGCAGAATGTAAATGAACCAGTGAGTGGCTTGCTCTCATCTCCTGTCTGCCTCTGCAGTGTGGATGCTATTTGGCATTGTACAGCTTTATTGTTAAGCTCTTTCTGTCCAACTGCTTATCCTGTTTGTTGCTGTTTATTTTGACAACTGTTGCTTTCACTGAGAGAAAAAAACTAGTGTCACAAAATTGAGTAGTGTCTCTTCCCAGTCCTCTTGCACCAAGATCCTCCACAGTCTACCTGCTTTGCTACTTTGATTTCAGTGTTACTGACTACATTAGACATAGAAAAGTGTAAAGCTGTGGCGATGCAAAAAGGTCCTTATGCTTCTGGAAATTATCATTTTTAGTTGACTCCATGTGAGAAGTGGTGACCGGGGAGCGGGTTCATTAGGAGTGTATTCAATGAAATAGTCACTATACAGTCAATCTAATGCATTATTTAATGCAGCCTTTAGGAAGCCTTACAGCTCCTGATGGCACAGCTCCTGAGAAGGAAAAGAAATCTCCAGCAGCTCAGACTAAAGCAGCCAGAGGGAAAGGAAAAGGGAAGAAAAAGGGAGGAAAAGGAAAAGAAGAACCAGAAGAAGAAACAGATCCAAGAAAGCTTGAACTCCTGAACTGGGTGAGATGAAAATATTCATACTAAAACTGTTGAAGAATTCATTTTTTTTTCATCCTGGGGGACAAAGAGAGAAGGAAAATACACCTTTTTCATTCTATAGAATGTTTGTTTGCACATTCTCACAAGATGAGCAGTAGATTTTGCAGGGATGCTGTTCAGTCTTTGAGCCAGAAACCTCTCTATCACCCCGTGTGTACCATGTGCAGCCATGTCACAACAGCACAAGTCAGTGCTTATCTGCTACATCTTCCATGTACTTCTTAATGGAAAATAGGAACACCAGTGAACATCTTCATCCTTCCTTGTACGTGTTATTTATCCAGTGATAGCAGTTTAAACATCTCCATTTTGAAGTGCTTCATTTTCCAGTTGCAGTAGTTTAAATTGTTCTGTTGTCTGGATTAAAGTTCATGTGTCAAGGAGATCACTGCTAAAGGGGTTTTCCCCTCTTCTACTGGTTTTTAACCCCTTAGACCATATTAAAAGAATCCATTAGGCTTCCTGACCAACATTTTCCAAAGGCAAAGCTAAGTTGGTGAAGGAAGGGGAAGTGCTTCTTCCCAAATGATTTGAGTCTTTTGGCGTTATATGTTGCCTTTTCTCTGTGAGGCTGCAGTTTGAGTGGAAGATACATATGCGAGTTACCAGGGTAAGTTATGTCAACCTCTTCTTAGAAGTATATAGTGCGTTTTTTTTAAATTTGAACTTGTTGCTATTATGTTCAGCAAGTAAATCTCTTTTTCACATAATGTGTCAAGCATGGTATGCCTGGTTTAATTAAAAATACTAAACAAATGATTGAAAGCTACAGATGTATTGCTGAGGGTTTCTTTCACTGCTGTCCTCTCACTCAAGACCTCATCGGAAAAATCTATCATCTGTATTGACTTGCATATGGGTAAAAGGTCATTTTCTAAAATCCTTTTCACTTATGGATAGTTGAACATATTTGGGAACTTGGGAATATCCTAAGTAATGAGAATGTTGGTGGTTGTTGCCCAGCCAATTCTTCTGTGCTCATGTAGTCTCACGTTCTCCATTCTGGCATTCAGGTGAATTCCCTGGAGCAGGCTATGCTGGACGCACTGGTTCTGGATCGAGTGGACTTCGTGAAACTACTTATTGAGAATGGAGTGAACATGCAGCACTTCCTCACTATTCCTCGACTGGAAGAACTTTATAATACCGTGAGTGAGCAGAAATAATAAAATGCTCTGTGATGTCTTTCCTACTGTGTTTAACAGAGGCATTATTTTTCTTCTTCTGATATATGCTTGTTTTCCAAAAACCTCTGAGGCCTGACAATACACAGAAGTTGAATAGTGATAAAAGGAGCCATAGCTACTACGTATGCTGTCCCCTTGTTTCACTGGATATGCACATTCCTAATTAATAAGCCTATAGCAACTTTCAGAAGCTGTTGCCATTTGTTATGCAAATATAATGATGTATTTAAAATGCATGTTCAGAACACTTAAAGAACTAATGTAGATAGTAAAAATTTATTACCAGCCAGTAGTGGTCATTTACCTTTTAATCTCTATTAGTTTTCATGTATGTATGCTTCAGTATTATTGAAATAAGCCTGTAAATTTGGCAAAGTACTTACACAGCAACTTTTATTTTTAACATATTGCAGAAGACAGTATCGTTTTTCCTTGTGGCCCAGCAGAGCAAAATGTTTTTCCCAAAACCATACAACACCATGGGTTTTAATCAAATTCTCCCCAGCCCGACCCACAGCAAATTCATCAGGAAGTGGCAGGTAATCTAGGACAGCATTCATACAACAGAGAACCTGTTCTCCCCGACCACCCAACCCACAGCAAATTCATCAGGAATGTAACTATTTCTTCCCGTTATGTAAGTGGCAGGTAGTCTAGGACAGCATTCATACAACAGAGAACCTCAGTCTAGGCCTCCAGTCCCTTTATGGCTCCTGCAGCAAGTACAAGTTCAGCCAGGGTCACAAACTGCTGTGACTGGAACCACCACATGAGGGATTATAGCAAAGGGATTACACAGCTCTTGACAGAAATGTATTTGTCGTTGTAGCCCAGTTCCTTCTTTCCAGCCCAGCAGAGTGTAACGGCACATGGTTGCCTCAAGTTCCACATCATTAATTACATTTGTGTTTGAAAAAAATCTGAAGAATTGAAGCTCTAATGAACTGTGAATTATTTTTGTTTCAGAGATTGGGTCCACCAAATACGCTGCATTTGCTAGTCAGAGATGTGAAAAAGGTAAGCTTAACTGCCAGCAGCATTGCCTTTGCGTGATTACATTAACCATGTGAGTCAACAGTAAAAGCAAGCATAGCACAGGGGAAAGCAGACATCTGAAATTAGATGGTACCTGTTAAGAAAGGAAAGTTAAATTACTTCTTGTGACAAACAGTGATGTCAGTCTAAATCAGGTATGGCCATACTGAACTGCTAGTAATTTAAAAACTAAGGAGAGGGAAGTTAAGCTCCTACTAGCGTAATATATTGTTTGCGATTTAGGTTGATACTATTTCTTCTCTACAAGAAACTCCTAGTGCAGCACTACAACAGTGAAGTGGAAGGAAAAGTCTGCTAGGTTAACTGGAAGCCCCACTCACGAGCACAGAATTTGTTCCATCTTATTTGTTTCCTTGTGGTTTTTTTCCATTACTTTTCACCCAAGCGATCCTACTTTTACCTGGGAGAAAAATGTGTTCTGTTTCTCAGTGCTAGAAGTTCTAAATTTGTTATTCATTTGTTTCCATGTCATGTAAATTCATTCATTATATGTGAATAGGGACATTTAAAGATTTGTTGTTTTATTTGCTCTCTTTGAGGTTTTGGAGCTTTTATTCAGTAAAATTTAGCTGCCCGAAATAGCCTGTATTCCTTTTTGCAAGGAAAATTCCCATTTATTCCTGGGAGGTTTAGATGTGGGAATTACACAGTACTGGGTTAATGTATAATTCATATTAGTCTGCTTCATAGTTTTAACACTTTCTTCATTCAGTGTTTGTCTTTTTGAGTGTTACTAATGCTCCTCTGCGTTCTGCTTTCTGTCTGTCTCTCTTCATTGCATTTCCATGGCTCATTCGTGCAGCGGCAGTCTCGGGGATTCGGTTGGGTTAACATGGAGGTGACGTGTTTGCTTGGGATATAGTTGTCTCCTCGTAGCAACTGCTCGGTGGTGCTGTAGAATCAGTTATTGCTGTAGGATGTCGCTTGCACAATGAAGCACAGATTTCAACACATGGTTCTAGCAGAGGCAATACCACTATCGAATTTTAAAGTGTAACAGTGGAAATCGTAGTCTGCCTTTTTCTTCTTTTCTGGGCTGCACATTAATCTAGTCACGTTCTGCATTGTAGTCTTAACTCTGTAGGTAGTATTATGATTAAATATAAGTTTCCATAAAATGCAAGGTATGCCTGATACTGTGAAATTGAGTCATGCTTTTATACTGGATTAATGATAATCTGTACAAATTTATTTAATTTCATCTATATAACCCTTGCAAACAACTCAGGCTTTTATGGGCACTGATGTATTGTATGAGTAAATCAAATGAAAATTTGTCCTCAACTATAAATACTGCCAATAACAAAACAAAAAAAATCTGGCCCCCAAAATTTCTATTATGTGACTCAGTTATCATTAATTTTGTACAAATATTCTGAGACTGAAACTAGTGGCTGTAAATAATACCCATGTGCCAATTTAAACATGACATGATATGTTGAGCTGGGCAATTTAATGTATGTTTTCTTTTCCTAAGTCCTTATTTTGTTTTTTTTTTTTATTTTTTGTTAGGGAAATCTTCCACCAGATTATCATATCAGCCTAATAGATATTGGTCTTGTACTTGAATATCTCATGGGTGGAGCTTATCGCTGCAACTACACTCGAAAAAGTTTTCGGACTCTTTATAATAATTTATTTGGACCAAAGAGGGTAAGAATGAGTTCATTCTGGATGTGTCCATCGTGCTGGTGCTAAAAAATAAGTAATACTCTGTTCATTGTTTTTCTGAAACATTACATGTTAAACTCTAAAGAAATGCTGCAAGACCAAAGTTCTAACCAAATAGAATAATTTTCTTCGTTGGGTTATTTATTTGGTTGGTTCAGCTTTGAAGGTCAAGTGGCATTTCCTAGCCTAATAACAGAAAACCCCACACTAGGAAACTAGCCCCACAAAGGGGCATAAGGCCACTCAAAGGCCAAGCATTCTGTAGCTGATATATTGTACCTGTATTGTGTAGTACTGTCTGGTAGAACAAACAAATAAATCTTTTACATAAATTGTAAAACAGCAATTTCACAATAGAACAGAGGGATTTTTTTAATGAGAAATTGTGAGAGGTTTGAAAATCTATTATATTTTTTTACTGTTTCTTATGGGTATCTTTATCCTTTGTGTGCTTAGAACTACTATTTTCTTCAAGCTTTTGTGACCACATGGTGATTTTAATTCTCAAAGCAGTATATTATTGAATGATTCATTTAACTCTTCCAACTGAATCAAAATACTTCACTCAAGTGCAGAATGGAAAATATTTTCTAACCCATTGCCGTCCTGCACATACAGTTAAGGGGGAGATTAATTGATTGTATCATTATTAGTACAATTACTTACAATAATAAGTTTAATAATAAATACTGGACATTTGTAAATTAAAATGTGTTTTTCCTTTGTATTGTTTGGTCTTTGAATTTTCCCTCCTGTCTAACTGATTTTCTTTTCTATTTTAATATTCAGCCAAAAGCTCTTAAACTACTAGGAATGGAGGTAAGTTGGATTTATTGTAAAATACTGTTTTGTATCAGAGCGTTTCTTGGTACAGTTCTGCTTTTGCTCTTAGCTTTTTCACTATTGCTGTGGCTTAAAGTAAATTTCAACTGGACAGGATTTTCCATTTTGCAAACAGCTTATGAAATACTTCTGATGCTTTTTTATGGGTAGGGTCTTGAGAGCTGCTTAAAACTTTGCTCAACAGTCTTCAGGCAGTTTTTAGCACTATTAGGCAACAACACATTCCATGTTTGAACATACTGTAGATTTAATCATTCAGATGTGAACATCAATGGTATTGAAAAGAGAATGTGATCCAGCAGTGCTACTTATGATCAAATCCCTTTCAACCATGAAGTAACAATTTATGTGAAAATGAGGTTTTATCACAGAAAAAACAAGGTGCTCGGACGTGTTAGATGCTGTCCTTCACGACAAACATCCTTTACCATGATGGCACCCTGCTTTGTAAGTGACACTGATGCAGAATTTTGGGTCCAACCCCTGCCTCAATCACTTGCATGTCTGCAGAAATCTTGAATTGATCAGAATCAAGCCTGGGATGATGCCTAAAAACTCTCTCTGTTTTGGAGGTACTTAAGTTTGTTTCTGAAAAAAGTGTTAATATAGACCAGGAAAGCATTTACACAAAGGGCCAGGTACATTTCATTAGGGTGTGTGCTTTTATTAATGCTGTGGTAGCATTTGAACACAAGTATATATACATGTTGCTTGTGTTACGTTTGATGTGAACTACACCCGCTCACTAAAGCCTCCATTTCCCCAAGCAGATAAGCAGCTTTCTTTTCTACAGAGAAAGTCCAGGTTATATTTAATCTCTCTGATCAGCTTCCTATTTTCTAATGGCTCAAGGCCAAAAGCTCAGCCCCTCATACGTGTGACCCTTTTTAATCAGCGTTGATCACACATAGGTTGCTTAGTGCTTCTGCAAAAGCACATTTTGATTTTCCTATTTCTTTCAGTGAGAAATGTTTTCTGTGGCACAAACTGAAGTATTCTCTCTACTTGACAGTGGGTGTAACCCACTCCCTTCTTCCAAGAGAAAGAAAAATTAACATTTCTTTTGCTGAAGTGATCAGTAAATTGATGCAAGTTCAGGTGTTTGGTTTTGTTTGGTTGGTTTTTTTCATTTCCAGTGTTAGCAGCTCTAAAACAGGAAGTTTAGACTCTAGCACTTGGTCTTTCTTATCCAGGGTGTTGTTTTGATTTGATTTTCCTAGTGTGGAGAGGACCTAACTTTTGATTCTCCATTTGAGATTTTATGTCCTGTGCTTCAGAGGTGCTCAACACTTTCTTTGTGTACATGCAATTAATGACCCCTGAATTTTCAATGAAAGACAGAGGTCACCACTTCCGGTTCTCAAAACTACTGGATGAGAAATGCATACCTAATTGTAGACCTGAAGAGTCATCTTTGGAAACCTGGGGTGTGAGGCTGAAGCCTGAATTTGGATTTAAGTTCATATTTTGTCAAAAAAATAGTGCATTGTACTGAGCTTGCTTGAACAGGAACTGATTTTGTAGAATGGTAATTGCTTTTATTTGCAATCCACTTCTGAGTTTGGAATCAAGGTCTTCAATGATGATGAGTTCTGTCTACACTTGTACATGCAATGTTCTTCCTACATTATTTAAACCCTAATTTTCCCAATCGTGGCTTTTCTCCCTTCAGGATCCTGCTTCATTGTCAGTACTTCCCTTCAGTTACTTCCATGTTGGTTCCTGTAGTAATGGCCAATCCTCCCTATCCCTTTAAGAAATGGGATACTTATACCTTCCGTTTGCAGTGCATACATAAGAGGAGATTGCTTATTCAAAGGTGAAGACTCCCTTTAGTATCTTGCTGTTCTTAAGGACGTTATCTGCCTGTCTTTTCCATTTGCATGTTGCCACTCTATCAACCTGCATGTTGGTTTGAAAACTCCTTTGATACCTGTAAGATATGCAGCACTGTTCCTCAGGAATAGATGCAGACATATCAAATCAGAAATTACAGTGGAAACCTGTTCATAGTGAATTCAGGTTTGTTAAAGCTCCATTGCCACTGCAGTGGAATTCATTAAATACTAATTCATCGCAAATCAGTTTGTGCAATTACACGTGCGGTAGAATGCAGCGTAAAGTGATGCCTTCAGTACAACAGGGTTCTGCTGCACTTGTCCAAGATGGGTGACTTGTAATTAAGAATGCAAGAAATGGTTCTCTGAATAAAATATTAAGCTGTGTGTGCTAGCCCAGTGCATGCTCTGTCACTTGGTCTGCATAGTTTTATTGCTATTAGCATTCATTGTAGCAAACAGCAAAAAGAAATTAGAACTTTAAGTATTAATATGTCCTCTCTGTACTTGTTCTGTGGATGGTGCCATTGTCAGGTAAGCTGTTAAAGATTAATGGGAACATTTTTTCTTCTCTTCTTCCCAGGATGATGAGCCTCCCACCAAAGGGAAGAAGAAGAAGAAGAAAAAGGAGGAAGAGATCGATATTGATGTGGATGACCCGGAAGTCAGCCGTTTTCAGTATCCCTTTCATGAACTGATGGTATGGGCTGTGCTGATGAAACGGCAGAAGATGGCACTCTTCCTTTGGCAGCGAGGGGAGGAAACCATGGCCAAAGCACTTGTGGCCTGTAAACTCTACAAGTCTATGGCCCATGAGTCTTCTGAGAGTGAGCTGGTTGATGACATCTCTCAGGATCTGGACAACAACTCAAAGTTAGTACACATGGAGCGCAGTGTATGTCCGTTTGATATAGGGGCTTGTCTGGCTTGTTGAGAAGCTTTACTTCTAGTAAAGTCTAGAATGTAGGTTCACAGAATGCCATTTAGAGCCTTTTTATCAACAGCAAAAAAAGCAAAAATGTGGTCTCAGAATCTGAAGGTGACATTAGCAAGGAGAAGACTTGCATTTTTTCTGACAGGTCACATTATTTCTTCAGCTTCTCTGTAAAACTAGCTAGTTCTATTTCACTAAGTTATTTACAGGATTCATTTGCATAAATTAAGGATTATGTAATGACATATCTAAATTGGCCTTAAGATGTTATCGGTCTAAGCTAGTCCTCTCTGTCAGTAAAAAATTAGTTTGGAACTTCTGTAGACTGTCCCAAATCAAGCTTGAGACTCAGTTGTCCTTGTCATTGTACATGGGTGTGGAAAAACGTGATCCACAGCGAACAGAATTAAAACCCCAAATGCAATTGGGGTTTTACCAATTCTAGACACCAATTTCTAAATCGAACTTCACTGGACTTATCTTGCATTTTCCAGAGATTTTGGGCAGCTGGCTGTTGAACTCTTGGATCAGTCCTATAAACATGATGAGCAGGTTGCCATGAAACTACTGACCTACGAACTGAAAAACTGGAGTAATTCTACCTGTCTCAAACTGGCTGTGGCAGCTAAACACAGGGACTTCATTGCTCACACGTGCAGCCAGATGCTCTTAACAGACATGTGGATGGGGCGATTACGCATGAGGAAAAACCCAGGCCTTAAGGTATTTCCTGCAGTTGTTTTCAGATATAGTTTGTTGCATGTAAGACTGTGTTATGCGTAGTGTTTGCATAAAACAAATTGTCTTACTAATTATAGATGTTTTTAAAACATACCTGTTTTAAAGCTAATTTTTTTTTGTTTCCACATTCAGGGTATCTAAGCAATATTACCCCATGACAAAGGGAGATATAAATCAATAAAAGGCTTAGCATGAATGGAATCTGAGAGCAAAGTTACGGCTTTTAATGAATTATGAGATGTGTTCATTGAAATCATACGCCTTTGATTAAAAATCAGTTGGATACAAGCAAAAAGATTTCAATTAGAGGTCCATGCAATGAGAGTAGAGAGAAAATGAACCGGCCATGGACACATGCTTTTTACATTGCTTAATATTATGCTCAGTATTGTACAGAGTCAAGACTCGGTGTTGAAAAGAGTAAAGTCTTTGCAATTGCACTGTGTGAAACTATGTGCTTTTATTTCCCTCTACTGTGATTTGATGATTTGGTCTCTCCTACTGACTTCTATATTTCCTGATTGTTTGATTTACAAAAACCCAAGTAATGTGAGGAGACTGACACAAAAGAGAAACGTGAGTGAGGCAGTGTTAAGGAAGGAGAGCAGTGTTTGCTTATGTGTGTTCTCATGTGAATATAATCCTTCCTTTGTTTTAATGCATTTGCTGTCACCTGCATAGAGCCCCATCATGATGGTGCCACCTCAGTCTCACCTCCTTATTTCCTTAAATCCCCCGTTACTGACCATGTGCCATCCCAGTCTTCCCAGGTGGTGCTCCCAAGTTTGCTGACATACACATTGCTCTCTCTCTGTCATTCTCAATTTATTTCCCCTTTCCCATGTCTCCCTCTTAAACCTGTTTAAAATCTTCAGGCAAGTATTCTGCCTTTCAGATTGCATCAAGGTGCTTTCTAAATCTGTTTATTGATTTCCTTTCTTTTCTCCAAAGCATTAATCAACCTGCTGATGTTCTAGTTTCAGTGCCTGCATTCTTCTCGTCTCTGCTCCTTTTCTGTACTTTGGCAACTCTTACTTTTGTTTCTGTATCTCAGCAATCTCATATAGTAAAAGAATTCTCCCAGTCCTATCTGCAAAGCTTCTTTAACCTTTCACAAGTTTTTAAACTAATAAAACTAATTATAGTAGGTGGCTAAATTAACTATGAACTCCAGTAACAAACCTTACGCCCTCTTCCAGTCACTCCTGTATCCGTTCCATTGAATTTCTCTGTACAACTCTAATTCTGGAGCACAATTTCTTAATTGCAGTGTATTTGTGGAGATGAGAAGCCTTCCAGGGTGCCATTTTTCCATATAAGATCTTCCTTCATAAGTACTACTTCTTCATTTTTATAGGTTTGAGGATAACAGAGTATCTTGAATACTATACAAAAGAAAATACTGTTTATGGGGTTTGCCATGGTATGAAATTTATTAGCGTAAACAACTATTGCCATCTGAGTTGAATTCTTTCTTGTTGTGCAGGTTATAATGGGGATTCTCTTCCCTCCCACCATCCTTTTCCTAGAGTTTCGGAGTTACGATGATTATTCTTACCAGACATCAAAAGAAAATGAAGAAAGCAAAGAAAAGGAGGAGGAAAATGCGGTCAGTAACAGAAAATTATTAGGAAGTTCTAATATCTCCAGTGTGCTCAGCTTTCTGAGCAGATTCTGATTTTGCTATAGGTCAGTCAGGTGAAAGTCTCAACTGCCCCTGTGGGATAAGAATTAGTGATGAGTTTTGGGAATGTATAGGTTGGGTTCTCAGGGCCTGTAAATTATCTGTGCAATTTCACAGATTCATGGAATTTCTACTTTTGTCTTTTTAAAGAGAGGTCTGTTGCTTAGAGCTTTTCTCATGCAGTTAACAGATGGCTAGGGCTCTAGTTGAGAAAAAGCTACTATTTTTACTATTGTGTATTGATGAAAACTGACAACTTTGGTCTTCTAGGATGCAAATGTGGATACAGGCTCCCGAAAAGGAGATGAAGAGAATGGAAAGAAAAAACAAAAGAGCCTTCCAATTGGAACAAAGATCTATGAATTCTATAATGCACCTATTGTCAAATTTTGGTTCTACACAGTAAGTCATGATGATTGAACTGATGTTGATCATTTTTCTCACACCTGTGAAACTTAAAGGATTCAAATGTAAAAATAATAATGAAGTAATAAGTAAATAGTACTGACTTTCCTGGAATCTGACGAGTAAAGCAATCTCCTTACTCAGAGAAAAATGCCTAGACAGTGAAACAGAATGAATAACCGATGCTTATGCTATCGGCCTCTAAAGCTCCTACACACTTAGGAGGCCCTGTCTGGCTAATCACATGCCAAAGTCAGTACAAGCCCCACAGCCCAGTAACTCAGTCCAAGCTAAGCTGGACTCTCTTGCTTTCTAAAAGCTCTGGCTCCTCTTCTGCTTTGAAATACATTTTAGGGCCCAAGAAGTAGTGCTACAGCATCAATGCTTGTCATTTGCTCTGTTGACAGTTAGGCTCAGATGAGTGCAATCTAGATGGAAGCACAGATCCCAGTCTGCTAAAGCTGAATAGGTACTTTTCCCTTATCTAAATAATCAAAACCAATCTAAACTAAGATTTATTTTTGACAAGCATCTGATTTTCTCTTTAGTGCATCAAGAATTATCTGGTGCTAAACTTTGTTTTAATAAAACAGAAAAAGTGTTCATGTTACTGCTCATAAATTTTGTGTGTGCGCTGTAAAAATAATATTGCTTTCTTTTTTATTTAAAGATAGGACTTCCAATGCCTAGTATGTCATACTATTATGCAGGTTTTAGTTTTAGCACATTGTAGTCACAAAATACTATAGCGATCCCTTTCTGCTGCCTGTATTAGTAATTTAAAAGTAAAATTCCTGTTTAATTTCAAAGAAAGGTATTCAACATGGTTTGACAGTGTAAGAAGAAATTACATTTAGTAGATTAAAAAAGCCCCAGGCACAAAGGGCCTGATGTAGAGTGCTTTGGAATTGTTGTTTTGCCTCTTTTGACAAATGAGATCATTCAGCTGTCTGGATCATATGGTCCACAGCATCTGTGGATATCTGTGATAATTCAGCCCGTGGCCTCTGCCAGTGTGCGTAGCAGCTGTAGGAAGAGCATTGCAGCAGCCCTGCTTCCTTCAGAGAAGAAAAGCTTTTTTCCTGCACAAGTAAAGGGCTTCATCACCTGAATCTTTCACACATAGTCTCAATGTATGTGTTCATACCTGTATGTATGAATGTCACGATTTGGGCAGGCTTTGCTTTCATGCAGCCCCTCAGCAAAGAGGATTTTACTGCCTTCTGTTTGATGTTTCTTCTCCGAGGTGCTAATGCAGCCTTCTGTGCTCCTGAGGCTCGTGGCCACTTCAAGTAACCAAATATCTGCAAACCTACTGTTCATGCAGATGGGTTCAAATAACAAGTATAGGAGGAGGAGTTGTAGGGACTGATATAGGAAGTCTGCGTCTTTCTGGCTTCACATAAAGAATATAATCTGCCTCTTAACCACATTATTACAGGGTTGAGAAAAGCAAGTGGCCAGTGTGGCTCTTTATTTCCCCTACCCCTTCAGGTAGGTGCTGCTCTCAACCCTACCTCCCTGTTCTGCTTTAGATCAGTTTTGAGATGGTGGGTAAACATTTCACATTGAATATCTTATTCTTTAGAAAGCTCAGTTTTCTCCCTAGAAAATCCTTTGGTTTATTGCTGTTTTGCTTCTCTCTTTTTTTTTTTTCCCTGCAAAGCCATTGAATCCATACTTTTTTCTCAACTCCGGACTTACCAGATCTCTTAAGTTTTTAGTTTGGCCCATCACCGAAGAGGCTGTGTGGAATGGAGACACACGTGTCACCAATTTGACATTTACACTAGTACTTATAGAAAACTAAGTGATAGCTGTCTTGGCTTACACTAATTGTCCAGAACTTCCTAATGAAAATTAGTGGAGATTTTTTTTTGTGTGTGTAAGTCATCTCAAGTAATCAAATACTGCCTGACTCTGGAAGGATCTTGGCATCTGTCCCCTAAAGTCCATAAAAGTTTTTTTTTTATTATTATTTTTTTTAGCTATCATACCTCGGTTACTTGATGCTATTTAATTATATCATCTTGGTGCGGATGGAACGGTGGCCATCAGTCCAGGAATGGATTGATTTTTTTTATTATTATGTTTTTTTAGCTATCATACCTCGGTTACTTGATGCTATTTAATTATATCATCTTGGTGCGGATGGAACGGTGGCCATCAGTCCAGGAATGGATTGTCATCTCTTACATTGTGACGTTGGCTTTGGAGAAAGTAAGAGAGGTAAGGTCTGATCATACAAACATCTCAATCCTTAAAATGATGCTCTCCCTTAGAGGTAATAATGGCATGGACTTGTGCAGAGGGTTGAGAAGCCATACATGAGAGACATGATTCTCATATCCAGAGTCCCAAAATGCCCATCACTGGAGAGGTTTTCATTTATAATCCATTTGCATACATTAAAACCTCTTATTGGGCAAAAATGCCCTGAGATCAGTAGTCAAAATGAACACTGTCATTCTCTTACGTGTATTTCCAAGGAAAGGCACAGCCATAACCCACGAAGGAAATCTCAGTAGGTTCTATCTTTTTATTATTGATGCAGTCAGTCCTTGATGAGAGCTGCAGGCAGAGATGTGTTTTGGGGAATTAGCTAGGAGTCCTGTCTGACTGATTTCGTTACTTTTGTATGAAGGCAGCATAAAAACGTCTCCTGTGTTCACATGCTGTACTGTGCTTTGCACTTGGCCTGTTCTTCTCTCATTCACAATTCCCACATCTCATACTAACTGTGTTTGGAGATAAATATGGATGCCAAGTCATTAAGCCACATCTCTTGGTTTAAATAGTATTGATTAAAATCTACAAAAAAAAAAAAAAAGGCTTAAGAAAGCCAAAATAGAAACAAAGATGAAAAGGGCGTCCAGAGGAGGGCTACGAAGCTGATCAGAGGGCTGGAGCACCTCTGCTGGCAGGACAGGCTGAGAGAGATAGAAACAAAGATGAAAAGGGGGTCCAGAGGAGGGCTACAAAGCTGATCAGAGGGCTGGAGCACCTCTGCTGGCAGGACAGGCTGAGAGAGTTGGGGTTGTCCAGCCTGGAGAAGAGAAGGCTCTGGGGAGGCCTTGTAGACACAGAGAGACATTTTGCCAAGGCCTGTAGTCACAGGATGAGGGGAAACTGTTTTAAACTGAAACACAGAGAGACGTTTTGCCAAGGCCTGTAGTTACAGGATGAGGGGCAACCATTTTAAACTGAAAGAAGGTGGGTTTGGATTGGACATAAGAAATTTTTTATGATGATGGTAGTGTGACAGTGGCCCAGGTTGCCCAGAGCAGCTGTGTATGCCCTGTCCTGGGAGTGTTCAAGGCCAGGGTGGATAGGGCTTTGAGCAACCTGGTCCAGTGGGAGGTGTCCCTGCCCAGGGCAGGGAGGTTGGAACTGAATGATCCTTATAGGTCCTTTCCAACCCAAGCCATTCTGTTATTCTATGAAAAGGAAATTTTGCTTGCTAGTAACTAAAAATATTGTTGCTTGAGACAAAGACACCTGTTGAATGGGACAAGATTGGTCTTTTGCATGACTTCAAAAATGTAACTTGGAGTTTTTCCTTAATGATTTCTTTGTTTTATTTATTTATTTCAGATTCTGATGTCAGAGCCTGGCAAGCTGAGCCAAAAAGTGAAAGTTTGGCTTCAGGAATACTGGAATATTACTGACCTGGTGGCTATTTCAGTATTTATAATAGGAGCAATTCTTCGCCTACAGAACCAGCCTTACATGGGTTATGGAAGAGTTATTTACTGCGTAGATATCATTTTCTGGTACATTAGGGTACTAGATATCTTTGGTGTGAACAAATATCTGGGACCCTACGTCATGATGATTGGAAAGATGGTTAGTGCCTAAATTTCTGTAAATGATATATTTCAGAACTTCATGGGAAATTAAATTTAGTTCTGATTTTAAAGAGGTTTTCCATCTGACTAGGACTGTGAAAATGTTGTGATGTGTTTCACACACACTCTTGCTAATAATTGCTTGATTCTAAAGATTGTCCCTACACCAGGATCGTCCACAAAACCACCAGTTGTGGACAGGAGAAGATACAGCAATGATTGTATCATCTTTCTGCAATCACAGAAGAGGTCTATGCTGAAAGCACAACATAGTGCACTTGATGCAAAATAGAATAGGGATAACAAAGATTTCAGCTTTTTAAGTCTTCTTAAATATGAATCTAGTATTCCTTTAAATGGCTGGGTTTACTGCATTTTTGTGTATGCTTAATTCCTGAGCACTAGTTCAAGTCAAAGAATAATATCAAGAAAATTATCCTGGGGAATCTGTTTGTTCTCTTGATACTTTCTTGTTGACTTTCATGCCTGCTGGCGAACAGACCTGCTGGTGCTACTGTACTACCTGGTGATGATAAAAGCCTCTGTGTGATCTCTCCCTGCAGATGATTGACATGCTCTACTTTGTGGTCATCATGCTTGTGGTTCTGATGAGTTTTGGAGTAGCCCGCCAAGCTATTCTGCACCCAGATGAGGAGCCTTCTTGGAGACTAGCCCGCAACATCTTCTATATGCCCTACTGGATGATCTATGGAGAGGTGTTCGCAGACCAGATAGACCGTAAGAGTAGAATTCATAGTAAGAGTCTGTTTCCTGTTTCTGAGGCAGATGATCAGTTCCAAATTAATGGTTGTTTTTAATTTGGAAGTAGTGTTTTGTTTTTATAATTATTTTGTTGTTCTTTTCTTGTGGCAAACTCTAGAGACTGAATAATTTTCTGTTCCCCACCTGCATCTCCTGTCTCTTAGTTTATATTCAAATTCAGTTGACACTGAGAGTGATGCAGTCTGCAATACTCTCCTGTCCAAGAGTATAACAGTATTAAGTGTTCCATTTACTTGCAGGGATCAACAGAGATCATTCTGAAATATCTTTTGTACCAATGTTTTACTAATAATCGGTTTAAGAAGCAGAAAAAAATAAATACCTTGCACAGGAGACAAAAATACACATATCCTTTCATTTCTGATTCACAGCACAGGCAATGAGCACATAAATTTTTACTCCCATTGATACATCTGTCTACTTTCCAGAAATGTTTCAATTTCATGAATCACTCATGTTCTTTTTTTATACACCTGTGCAAAAACAAAATTAAAAAAGAAGGCTCTGCTTAATTAGCTTTAGGTGTGGAAATAGCCTTTCTTATATGAAAGCTGCACAATTTTAAAAAACAACAGTGAGTATTTTAGAGGAGATGGAAAGTGTCATGGTACTGCTAGATTGAGTTAATATTTGGAATTTGTACAGTCAAACATGCAGTGGCATCCTCTAGTGTGTATAACACATTATTTTAGATAAAGTACAAACTGTAAGCTGCTATTTCAGCATTGTGTATGTGCCTTTTTAACCTTCTGCATTGGCAAGTTGTAAAGTGGAAGGCTGAAGAAACTGTGAGGTCTAAGTTTAGTCAAAAACCATAAAGATCCATCATCAGGAGAAAACTTTATACCAAATGTTATTAGAGTGTACTTTAATTGCTTAGAAAGGAATAAAATGTCATTAGATGGCTTCTGAACAGTGTACACTGTTGCAAAGACCATATCATCTTCATTTTCCTTATGTGCTTGTCTTACTAATGTAACTATTGGTACAGTGAATTACTCTTGACAAAGATAATGTAAAGACAGTCATTTATTGTCTGATATTGCAGTTTCAGTGCATATGTGAGCCAGGGTAAGCTCAGGATCTCTCAAGTGGCTTAATTCTCCCCTGGGACTGTAACAGGGTATCCCTTACCTTTGTGGCTTATCATGTGCATTCAAATCCCACTTCACTTTGAACAAAGAATGTTTGCCAATGTAGACAATTTGATTTCTTTATAAATCAAAACTGACACCTTACCAAGAATACCGATGTCTTTAGTGTAAGTGGTATCCCAGACTTCTCTCATGTTTCTAGTCATTTCTCTGTTATATACTCAGAATCTTTTGAATTAGAAATCTTTCTTCAGCAGTATGAAAGATTTTGGGGAAAAAAAGAAGTTCAGACTTTCCAGTTAAAGAAGTTCAGTCCAGTTACTTGCTCCACAAACCTTCCCAGGTCAGAAGCTTTGCTGTGTCACTAGCTTAAACATAAGCTAACTTGGAAATGTGTGGCTTTGTTGTTTTTTTTAAGATTGAAGTAAAAATGGCTACGCAAGGAGTTCTACTGGTATAACTAGACTGCATTACGATTCTTCAGTAAACATTTTACGTCTACAAGTCTATGGACTGACTTCTGAAGACTTTTTTGCCGTTAGTAAGAAATTTTCACTCTGATCTTTCCGTGGTTGTCTGTAAACACACCACAAAAGCAACCTCAGAAGTCACTGGGGAGTGGTTGCTGTGGGCAATCTAACCTGACTCTGTCAAGTGCTTATGGGTAGTCTTGGCAAGGCCCGTCAGTACAAACAATTTATGGAAAAAATATTACATTAAATTTTCCATCTAAAAGAAGGTAGTTGAACTTTTGTCAATAACTTCAGTGAGCATAGGATGTCACCTAAAGATTAACATCACGAGTCACAGAATTGCTGAGGCTGGAAGGCACCTTTGGAGATCATCCAGACAAGCTTTCCTGCTCAAAGCAGGGTAAGTTAGAGCAGGTTGCACAGGGACTGTCCAGGTTTTTAATATATTGAAGGATGAAGACTGTGCGCCCTCTCTGGGCAACCTGGTTTAAATGGAATTTGCCATATTTCTGTCTTTGCCCACTGCCTCTTGTCCTTTCACTGGATACCACTGAGGAGAGTCTGGCTGCTTCTTTACTCTTGCCACCATCAGGTATTTGTAACGTTGGTAACATCTCCCTTCACCCTTGTCCTCTCCAGGCTAAATTATCCCAGCTTTCTCAGCCTTGCCCTCATTTGTCAGGTGCTCTAATCACCTTAATAATCTTTGTGACTCTATACTGGAGCCTTTCCAGTATGTCCATGTCTGATTTCTGTGGGGGAGTGCAGATCTAGACACACAACTCCAGATGTGATTTTTACCTCCTTTAACTTTTCCTAACACAGCCCAGGATGCTCTTGTCTAGTTCACTCCATTTAGAAGATATCCATGAGCAAGAAGTTAGTGTCATCTAGTACTCAACAGCAATAAATTCTTAAACAACAGAGAAACCTGACTGAATTTCTTTCATTTTTCTTACAGACACCATTTAGGGGTTGGCAAGCAAGTATCCATACTGGTAGTCAAATGGGCTTTAATGATATTGTATGCTGTAGTAACATCAGTATCATGACTATTAAGGGGAACTATTCAATAGAACTATTCATAGCTATTCAATAGAAACAGCTAAACAGCTGGCAGACTCAAAGCCAGGGTGGTTCTTTAAAAATAAATAAATAAATAACATAAAAAAGGAAATGTTTCCATAATAACTAAAAGAATGATTTTGTGTTGTTTTGAGTTGTTTTGTGTTCGTGGTGACCACCAGTTTTGTTTACTTGCCAGAAATGTCATGTATATTTAAGTGATCATCTGCCAGAAGCATTTTGTGATTTATTATTAATATAATGAAGTAATTCTGCGCCATATGTAACATTTGGGGAAAACAACATGAAAAGGAAATTGCAGAATGCAGTGCATTTTTAACAAAGACATTGTTTCTAAACATATGTCTCTACTGTTCTGACGTTTGATTTGCTTATCTTTTCTTGCTGGAAAAACTATATTATCAATCATGGGGTTTTTGTTGTTTGTTTTTTTCCTATATTATTCTATTGTTTTCTTTCTTTCTCTCCCTGCCTCCTTTTCTATTTCGTTCCTTTGGAATGCTCTTCAGTCTATGCCATGGAAATTAATCGTAAGTCTCTCTGGACAGCTGATTATCTCAGTTAGCTGAATATGTTCATTAATCTTTTTTCTTCACTAGATACTGACATTTTAATTATAGGGCTCATCCAATATTCAGGTGTGAATCTCGTTTTTCTGCTGTAATACTTTCATTTTAAAAAAGAAGCAGAGGAAAAATATTTTAATGCAGATTGCAGATCAGAAGTTTTAATTGAGCTTATGTGGTTGCTATGACTTGTTTCTAGTATGTAGACAGTAAAATAATCCTTTTTTAAATTATGATGCATGAATGTCACTGTATAACTAATTCCCTTTGATTACATAGATACAATGTTAGTGTTTCCTTGGCAGTACTTTCACTGGTCCGTGTGAATATTACTATGATTCACTTGGCTTTTGTGTTGCACTTTTCTTATGATAAACAAGAAAAATATAGGCCTGATGCTTGAAAAGCAAGTACAATATATTTTATTAATCATAGGCTAAATATCTTTCAGTCCACAATGAATAAGATTAGTCTGTTTTCAGATAATTTGAAGTATTTTTCAGGGGAGCGTGAAGCATTAGATTTTTTTCAAAATGCTTAAATTGGTTTGTCTATTTGCATAAAATCTTTTTATGAACTCTTTGTCAGACTTAGTATTTGCTAAAATTTCAGCTTAAGAACCCGTGGCTCATAAACACTTTACCTGCTGCTGAAAGGCTCCAAAAGTTAGGAGCTCCAAAAACCCAGACAGGACCAATGATAGTCCATGGTCCATCTAGGGAGTCCAGTCAGGTCAAAAGGAGGTGGCGTCAGAGACAGAAGAAGGATCCATCCAGGGGACAAACAGAGGTCTGAGGTCCCTGTGGGAGGCAGGGCTGAGACCACAGGTGGGCCATGGCTCAAGCAGGGACAGGTACACGTTGGGGTTAGAGGTAGGGCCTGGGTGAAGGTGGTCAGGATCATTAAGGCCTCTTTCGTACACTCAGGGCTCCAGTAAAGGTTTAATTTATGCTCAGCAATCTGGGACCACTAAGTAAATCTTTTTGTGTCTCTGGCAAGGTATGTACACAAGTTTGGTTTTTTTTAGTTCCACTATTAGTATGTACATATGCATATTAAGATCTTCTCCTGAAAAGAAAATCCATATGAATTTGAAGAGAAGGCCACACTATACAGTAAATTTGGAGCTGGCTCTTTATTCACTATTTTGTATGCTGTAGCTAGCAGCAGATTTTGAAGTAGAAATTATACATACTTGCCACTGGAAATAAACTGAAATTTGTTTAGCTTAGCAGATTTTATGCATGTGTTATCATTAAATAAAGGTGAATAATGTTTTTAAGTATCAGGCAATTTGTGAAAAATACCTTTCCTGGTTTTTTTTCAGCTCCTTGTGGGGACAATCTTTATGATGATGATGGTAAACGCCTCCCTCCATGTATACCAGGGGCCTGGCTCACTCCTGCTATTATGGCTTGTTACCTCTTGGTGGCAAATATCCTGTTGGTGAACCTGCTGATTGCTGTCTTCAAGTATGTATTTATTTTCTTATTGCCGAGATAAAGTGTCTGTGAGAGCCCCTCAACTGATTTTGCAAGGGTTTGGATTCACACTAGGAATCTATGAACATGACTGGCAAATACTTGGAAAGTGTATACATCGGAAAAGAGTGGAGGAAAGGTTGCCTTGAATTTGCCAGCAATTGCAGTAGTGCATATAAGGGAATCTGGCTACTTCCCATTACCATCTGGTGGGTAGTGACAGGCCTCAAGATTGCTCTGGAAAGATCAAAAACAGAGTCCATGAAACCTGCTACGTACATGATGGAAGTCTGTGTAACCACTAGCAATAGAACTGCAGAATGGAAATCTAACATCAAAAGCAGGAGGCATTTCCACTGTCAGTACATCATCTGGCTGCTTTTTCTTTTTTTTCTTGTTTTGCTTTTCATTTAGAAAAAAAACAATTGGGCTTTGCAGAGTTCTTCTATGACCCAGAAAAGGAGTCTATACTGCCATGAACCTAAAAAAAATGAATTGAAATACCTCCTTGCTAGTAAGACTTTCTGAACTTGCCACCTGAGAAAAGCAGGTGCTCCATTTTTGATGCCCATAAACAAGCAGTGTTGAAGGGCTCATTGGCTACCCACAACCACAAAAATATTTCATCCTGTGCCCAGAAATCTACAGCTCACAAAGCCAGTCTTTCATTTGATGTATGTAGCTTAAAAGGTCATGAATTTTAAAGTGCTCTCAAATGCCAGTCACATAGCTCTGGGGAAGAGGAAGAATCTTACAATGGCAGCTATTATTGGCTGAAGGACCAAGAAATCAGCAGTTTGGGAAGTAGGTCGTGCTGTTAACCCCTGCCATCCCAGCGTGGTTGCAAAGGGGTGAGATCTAGCTGGGGAATTCCTGCTATGCAGGACACACAGAAAAAATGCAGATTGTCACTTATCGTTGGTAAATAATCTCATGTGTATGTAGCCAAAAGCAACCGAAAGGTATGTGTTCCCAAGAACTCTGGTTTTGAAGAGATATTTTAACTGGTTTTGTGAATGAATTCTAAAGCACAGAAAGTTAGAGAAGTGGACAGAAAATATAAAAAAGGAAGTGCCAATGTTATCATCATCATCAAAGTGGAGTGAGCTGTCTGAACATACTCTAAAACAGCTTGAAAAGCTTTATCTAAGACAGCACATCAAGTCTGCTTTCTCTTAGTTGGTATTTCATAACCTTGACTATTGTTATCTCTGGATTGAATACTATCACTTATAATCCTCACTGAATTACAAAATAGAACATCTTTATAACACATCTTATTTTGGTGTAGAAATGATGAGACCGTGGCTTCCAGGAACAAATTTCATTGCAAGAATATGCACTGTGTTTTCAAGTCAGAAGTTTGAGTGAATAAAGTTTGGATTTAGGACATTTTGTGAAAACTTGAGAAGTGTTCCTATGTAGGTCAAGCTGATTAGCATATTAAAGGCAAACTATGTGAAACTTCTGGGATTAGCATACAAAATACCTTTCATGGATTTAATACTTTGTGTAATATCAAATACTGGCATGTGTTAAAAGAAATACTTTATAAGCAAGGCCCAAAATACCAATTATGCAATTCATTAATTGTGCAAGTTTCTTTTCTCTAACACCTAAAGGACTTTATACAGTTGGAGCAAATAGTCTAAGAGGAAGACTGTTCTGGGTGGTGCATAAGGGACGCAGAGTGCCTTCTGCTTTGCTACCCTCAAAAGGAGTAACACCTTCTGCTTTGCTAACCTCAAAAGGAGTAGTGAAATCATGAGTTCAGGTTAATCATCAGTTCAGCAAGGTCAGCAGTATCAACAAAGCTGAACCAAACAAGTCATGTGGCTGCATATTGTTATTTAGCTGCTACTTTTATCAACATAGTACTTGCTCAGTAAGTAAATTTAGGGGCCTACTAGAAACTGTACCTATGTTCCCTTTCAGCAATACCTTCTTTGAGGTAAAATCAATATCCAACCAAGTCTGGAAGTTCCAGCGGTACCAGCTGATCATGACATTCCATGATAGACCTGTCCTCCCACCACCAATGATTATCTTCAGCCACATCTACATAATCATCAAGCGAATCTGCTGTCGCTGCAAGAAGGGTGAAGGAGACCAGGATGAGCGTGACAGGGGACTGAGTATGCAAGAAATCTTCTCTAAATTGAGCTCTTTGCACCATGTTAGCAGAAAGCAGCAGCTTTTCCAGTGCTGAACTACTTTGTTCATGTTGATGATCAAGCGTATTTGCAGAAGACAGTATGGCACAAAATTTTATCAAGTTAACAGCTCTTGAGCTCCTTGGGCTCCTGAGAATATGCAATGCTGTGCTGCTAATGAAGACTTCCTGTAATGTGCTTTCCTCAAACAGTGAGATGGCATCTACTTAATCCCGTTTTACCAAGTTCTAGTGAAGTCCATATGTTGGCAAGGGCAAATAAGCAATTGAGAAAAAGGGATCACAGTTTCAAATGTCATCTCTAGTGTCAACTTGTGATTGTGAGCAATCTGTATCCCAGAGTATCCTCACTTTCAATTCACCATGTTAGAGATTTATCTCATTTCACAGTATAACTGAGGATTCTTCTCCTAACATACTCTGTAGTTGTTGATTATTATTTTCATTATATTCCTTGTTTAAATAATCAGATGCTCACAATTATCCCTGTATTTCTATATTTCTCAGGAAACATATTTTGTAAGTAATTCTATTTCTGCACAATATGCTTCTGAGTCAAAAAGAAAAAAAGAGTAAAAAGTAAATTTAACACTCCCTCCAAATACAGAGACAAATTCAAATAAAGAATGAAGTGTTCCCAAAAGCTTATATTTCCCTTGGATTTTTCTTACGTGGTTATAAATTTTTGAAGCTCTTATCCAAAGAATGTCTGGGAAACACAATCTGTTATTTTAGAGTATATGTTGCCTATAACTGACATCCTTTTAAGAACAGCATTCAAATGCAGGAACAGTCAAACTGGCAGAGATTGTCCTAATCTTTATCCTGTAAAATCTAGTCAGTTTATGCAATGCATAGCACTGCTGTTAAAAAGTGCAAAGGTCATTGAGAAAATAGAGCCTCCAGTGGATGGTCATAATGGTCAAAAGCAGATGATGGTCATAATGCATGACGTTGCCTTCAGGGCTGGGGTCATCTTTGGCTAAGCGTTCATTCTCTATTTACAAAATCATTTCACTGAATTTCTAGAGTTGGAAGGGACCATAGAGATCATCTAGTCCAACTCCCCTGCTGAAGCAGGATTGCCTAGAGCTAGAGCATGTTACTCAGGACTGCATCCAGGCGGGTTTTGAAGATCTCCAAAGAAGGGGACTCCACAACCTCCCTGGGCAGCCTGTTCCAGGGCTCCGTCACCCTCACCGTGAAGAAGTTTCTCCTCATATTTGAGTGGAACCTCTTATGTTCCAACTTGTGCCCGTTGCCCCTCGTCCTCTCAGTGGGAACCACTGCAAAGAGTCTGGCTCCCTCCTCCTTCAACCCTCCCTTGAGATACTTGTAGGCGTTGATAAGGTCATTTAGTGCTGGGCTAGAACCTGCAGTTTCCATATGTCCAACGTAATCTGCTAAATTGGGTTTAAATTGACTGCCAGAATTTCAGGAAAAGGGAACTCATATTTTGTTCTCCCATTTTGCACAGAGTTATTTCTGAATGATGAAGAGCTAAAGAAACTGTATGAGTTTGAAGAGCAGTGTGTAGAAGAATACTTCCAGGAAAAAGAGGACGAGCAGCAATCATCTAATGATGAACGCATCAGAGTTACCTCTGAAAGGTACCTATTATAAGAAAAAAACACATCACTTACTTGGAACAATATTTGATTTTTTTGTGTCTTCATTATAACCAAAGTTGAGTTAAAGTACAAAAGATTTAGATCTTGAAGAAAACCACCACCAATTCAGAAGCTGATCTGAATCCTGAGTAAATATCTGTGCACGTGCATATCTCACAAGAGCAAGCTCTTTGGTGTTCCTACTGTTATGTCACCAAGGCTGCTACTTTGGGTAGCTTTGGTGCAAGAACATTTTTGCTCATGGTGAATTTTTCCCTCTCACCCATATAAAGATCACAGATATGCTTTTTATCCCTTTGAGCAAATTACTACTTGTTGAGTTTCCGACAGCTCATCCAACCATGAGAGGCATGTTGGAGCTTAATGACAAAAGCACTGAGGGTTCTTCCCTTGGACCTGTGCTTTGCGCCAAGGTCCAGCACTCACAACGGCTGAATTTTAATCTCTCTCGGAAGTTTTGAACAAGGCATTGAGATTTTCAGTATGAACTTCCCCATTTAAAAGACAGGGAATATTTACATGTAAATCATTAAGCTGTTCTAAGGACTGGGTAATGTTTGCATGTTGCTGTGTAAGCACAGCAATAATGGCAGCAGCGCTTTTTTACCAGGTCACTTGACAGGCTTTGATGGGGTCTTTTGTCACTTCCTTGAAATGATGGGAAAAGCCTCTCTGTAACAAAAATGATACGCAGTTTAAACACCCTTTCACCTTAATATACCTTATGGTATTTTTATGATGAACTGCTCCATACATACAAATATATATATATCTCTATCTTCTTTTTAACATTTCTTATGAAGTAGCCGTAAATTCTTTAACAGATAAATATCTTTCTCTTGAAAGGAGGCCCTGAACATCTTGTGTTATTATATCTGAAATCTGAAAATAGAGAAGTAAATGAAATCTGCTACCTGTATTCGAGTAGTTTCTGTCGCATTATTAATCCATGGCAATTTGTCAAAATCCTAGGTATTGTGGCAGAGAATAAAGCAGGGCTGGTAAGCCTCACTGATTCACTATGGTCTATGGCCACAAAGCAGATTTGCTTATTTCTCATGGCTTCTTGCTCCAGATGCTTTGTCATCTTTTGTGTGTGTGAGCAAAAGAATGTTAATTTGATTTCCACAGTTCATTTACTAGTGTATGATCTCTAAGTCACATTCTAATGCATTACTTTTATATGCATTCTTCTGGTACCATCACTTCCATTATGATATAAATGATAAAAGAAAATGAGAAAAAGCATTATTTTAATTGAACTAGACAATAGTTCCACTCCCTTTAGCTGATCATAGCTGAAAGGTATCTCAAGAGCTAAAGTAATCCCACATGCAGCAGCATATGTTCTCTCTCATACAGCTACAAAACCTGTTTTACAACATGCCTTGATGCTATTTTAAGTCAGCCTGTGAGCATGCCATTAGAAAGTATTTTTCATACAACTGATTGATGCTTCACAGTGAACAAGAACAACTGAATGTGAAGTGGGTGGCACACTCAGAAGCATTAACAGTAGGCCGACTCTAAGGGCTGCAACTCTTGTACTCTCCTGGCATGTAAATAAGGGCAAAGTTCAAATGGCCCTCTCATACGGTATACAGAAAGCATAGATTACAAGAAAATGCACGTGCTTTTGATGCTACATGTAGGAAAAAGATAATAATGTGTGAATATAGCACTAAATTCTGCCTTACGAAGATAACAGTAGCTGGGTGCCTGTAGTGGGTTGCTGCACAATTCCACAGCTTCTGTTCTCTGCTTCCTCTTTTATACCCAACAGAGTTGAAAATATGTCTATGAGGCTAGAAGAGGTGAATGAAAGAGAACATTTTATGAAAGCTTCTCTTCAAACAGTCGACCTTCGACTCTCTCAGTTGGAAGAACTATCTGGTCGGATGGTGAATGCTCTTGAGAAGCTGGCAGGTATTGACAAATCTGAGCTGACATACACACGTTCACGGGCTTCGTCCGAGTGTGATGCTGCGTATCTCCTACGGCAAAGCAGCGTTAACAGCTCTGATGGCTACAGTATGTACAGATACCATGTTGGTGGCGATGAGTTAATGTACGATGACAGTACAACTCCTATGTCACCAGCCATGGGATTGCGTAAAAAAGCCCATTCTGTTGGTACCAAAGAAGATGGAGCAGACCCAAGGATGCTGGTTCCTGAACATCACACCGGTCTCCACTATACCTCTAGTGCTAATGCAGTCGCCACATCAGATTACAGTAAATCTACATTAGAAATTGCACAGAATGCTTCCAGACCCTATTCTGGTTCAGGTGGTTTGGGGGATGAAAAGCTGGGGATTTTCAAGAGTGATGGAATGATTCCTCGAAGTATAAACCAGATGGATGCTGTTACAAACAAACAGTCAGTACCAAGAGCAGATTTTCAGAACACTCAGTTAAAAGTAGAACGTACCAAGCTAGAAGCAACCATCTCTTACCCCTTGGATAAATCTAAAGCGATGCGCTATTTTCCTCCTGAAACATTCAGTGCTTGTCAAACCACTATGACAAAGTCAAGGAGCTTTATATTTGCACAGGGTGGGAAGCTGGTTGGAGGAGTTAACAACTGGACCACAGAGTATAGTACCATCATGGACCAGGTGGGCCCTTCTACAATCGAACAATGGGCCACAGAGTGGAAATATGAAGTTGAGCAGCAGCTTTCTCAAGAACGTCCTCCAGAATACCCTGGTTTTACGTCTGAGGCAGAAAGGCAAGCAGAGCAGAAACAGTTACAGATGGACACAGATGACAGTGATGTTGGTGAAGCAGGTATGAGTGCCTCTTACACCCCTATGCCTGCCACTGTCAAGGCTGAGAAAGAGAATTTACTATCAGTAAAGCCAGAAAGGACTTCTGGGTTCCCATCAGTACGGTCAAAGAGTTTGCACAGCCATTCTCGGAAAGCCAAGTCTGTAAAGGACAAGTTAAATAGACCAGGACATGCCAGCAGCGTAACTAATTTGGTGGTAGCATTTGGCAGTGCCACAGAGGAACAGAAAGCTAGGCAAGAAAATGCATCCACAGAAACTGAATGTTGAAATGGCTCATGGCCCCTGTTTTATCGACAGTCAAGAAAGTAGCATGACTAATTGAACAAAGTATGTATTTTTAATTTAATTTCTAAAGAAGGATTTTGCATATACTTATTTATTTTCATTTTAAACTTAATAAATATATATTCTGTTCTTAAATATATGCTTACTGGGTCAGGTGAAAGGCAGATGCTCTCTCAGGGGCAGATAAAAAATAGGCACAGTCCACAGATGCCAACAGTATAGAACTTTCTTTGTTCCATTTCAGCCTCCTCATAAGCTCATCTACTGACAAGCTCTTTATAAAAGCTCTCGAAAGAAGGACAATATTACCATGCAATAATTTATAATTATTTTTTTTTTTTAATCAGAAGACTTCTTAAACAGAATAAATTTTTAACCAGCCTTAGTTTTTATCCTTACTTATGCAGCTGGTTTCTCTGTGACCATTGTGTTTTTCAAATCAAAACAAAATTGTTGGAGGCAAAGAAAAATTATGCAGTCCCCTTTTTCACTACTGATTTCATGGATGCTTCTTAGCTTCTCCTTCAGACAAGCACAATGGAGCAGTCTTCACTAAAATAGGCCTGAGTAGGAAAATACAGTGTTTGGAGAAACCTGACCCAGAAGGCCATGTTCTTGACCTGTTCTTGAACTTTAGTGACATAATCTTGCTTTCAGGATCATACTGTCCTCACCCCAAAGCATGCTGGCAGCCTTAAACTGTTGAAAAAACAGTGATTTTTTTTTTTCAAAGTGTTTAGGGAAATTCTAAGTATATGAAGTATATGGAAATTTTAATAAGAAGAATCCAAGATCTGCATTAGTGTTTTGTGTTGCAGTAGAAGTCCATGTGGAGTAAGAATCTGGCTTTTCTTAAATGCCTGCAAGGGAAAACAAAACAAAACAGGAACAGTGTTCTGATGGGCTGCGATCAAAATGTAGCTAATCTGTTTGAAGCAAATTACTGTGGCAAATTCATGTTTCATTTTGCAATTTCATTATGCCAACACATGAGGAACAAGGAACATTTTCTAGGAGTCAGTCTATACAAAAAACAGATTTCCCAGATGAGAACAGAAATTCCATATGTTTTCTTGAGTAAATTTCAAAAACAAATGTCAAAGGAAAAAAGTCTCTACAGAGAAAGGAGTTTCCCAACACGCTTATCTCAGCAGTGGCATTCCAAGTACTAGCTTTTGATAGTTTTCTTCATAATAGTATAATGTTATTTGCCTCATTCTTCTCTGTTACCCTTCAGGATTTTTTTTCACAAATATTCAGTGCCTTTCTTTGCAGGGAAGGCATACCATAGAACCATAGAATCATTTTGGTTGGAAAAGACCTTTAAGATCATTGAGTCCAACCATTAACCCAGCACTGCCAAGTTACCGCTAGCCCATGTCCCTCAGCATCGTATCTGCCCGTCTTTTAAATACCTCCAGGGGTGGTGATTCCACCACTTCCCTGGGCAGCCTGGTCCAATGCGTGACAACCCTTTCGATGAAGAAATTTTTACTAATACCCAATCTAAACCTTCTCTGGCACAACTTGAGGCTGTTTCCTCAAGTTAGTCAAGCAGGACTTGCCTTTGATAAACCCATGCTGACTTGGCCTGATCGCCTGGTTGTCCTTTATGTGCTACATGGTGGCACTCAAGATGGTCTGCTCAGTAACCATCCCAGCCACCAAAGTCAGACTGCAGTTCTCTGAGTTCTCCTTCTGGCCCTTCTTGCAGATGGGTGTCACGTTTGCTAACCTCCAGTCAACTGGGACCTCCCCAGTTAGCCAGGACTGCCAATAAATGATGGAAAGTGGCTTGGTGAGCACGTCTGCCAGCTCCCTCGGTACCTTGGGGTGGATCCCATCTGGTCCCAGAGACTTGTGTGCACTGAAATGGTGTAGTAGGTCGCTCACTAGTTCCCCTTGAATTATGGGGGCTTCATTCTGCTCCCCAACATTCTGCTCCCCATTGAACAGACAAGAAAGATTAAGAGTTAAAGTCATGTTACTTGTTCACAGAATACTGGTCAAAAGTTTACACTTAACTCGTTAACCATCAGAACTTATTCATAAACTGTTTTGAAAAGACAGAATTTCTTTTTTCCCCCCTCAGCTCCACTGAGCTCAGTCAGTGTGTAGGTCTCACTATCCCCCTTGGTAATGCTGCTTACAGCATTTTGAAATGCAGGGATTGGTGGAAGACTACAGATGCATTGATGGCATCAGCTTCTTACAGTTTGTATTATAGTTTCATACTCCGTCCATACTTATATCTTGAAGTACCGTTACCAGACGGAATGATCCTGGTAACTGCACAGCCATTCCTGAAGTACAGGCATCGCTCACTAGGGGGTTTTGCAGGCTTGGTCTTATTAGCAGTTTTACTGCTTTCACTGTTGGCAGAACAGTGTTGACATTTTGCTTTTCATGTGGGCTTTTTTTTTATTCAACTTTAGGGAACTTGACATTTTGTAAAACCAGAATGACATTTGAAATTGTTTCACTTCCATGTTTACTACTGTGTTACCATTCTATGCAACTATATAGCCATTTTGTACCTGTGGTTAAAATAGCCTCCAGTTTGCCAATGCCTTTTTATTGTTTGCCTGGACACTCGCCAGAAATGGATTCATTAACAAACACAAAGGGATGCAGCTTTTCAGCACTTTGCTAAACAAGCAGTATGCATTGTGGAAGGAAATACAGTCTGTTGCATACCTCTTGTTACGTTGTCTTTATAAAACCTGTGTTCAATCATGCTCTGTTTGACCAGTTATTTTTGTAGCATTTACATTACAAACATATCCCATAGCATGTAGATTTCAAACAAAAACATTTTACCTTTGTATTTATTTACTTCCTTTGTGAGAAAATATTTATAAAGAAACTTATGAAAAAGATGTGAAATGAATCTGATATAACAAATTTTTCATTATAATGATATCAAAACACTTCACTTATCTATTTCTTCTTATGCAGTGCGTGGGCTGAACATTTTCTAAGCAAAGTTTCTTTTTTGATCTTTGCCAGTAATTTTCCATAAAGTTCTCTATACAGTGATGACTTTATAAGGCTCAGAGCTTTTCTGTGCTCTTGCATAGCATGAACTGAAATTATAACCCCTCTGCCATTAAGTGTGAAGTAGCTGCACTGACTTTAGCGGAGTTATTTTAGCCATACAGCCATTTAAATAAGATTTAATATGGCTCTGTATGTCCACAGAAGACCAATAGTAGATTTGGGACACACTAAACGGAATAACAATCAACGCATTTGCATGTTTGCCTACATGCTTTCTTGAATACTGGCTGAAAGGATGCAAGCACAGAATTCGCGTTTCTGAAGCGGCATGTTTGATACTGAAGATGTGTCCTTCCTCCTGCTAAGTCTGTGCTGACTCCACAGCAGTGTCACTCTGAATTCCACTTACCATTCTTTATTATGTGCTTGACATCTACTGAACCAGGTCGGCCCTAAAGGAAGCGTATTCTAAGGCTGTGTCTGCGCAGAGATGTTATACTAAGGTAATTTAAGTTTGTTCATCTTACAGTATCTTGCAATGGAGACATCTCCCTCTCCCTCAAGGCAAATGTTTTAAACACGGTGACTCAATTGTAATATCCACATAAGTGGGTTCTTAGCTACACCAGCTGATTCCATTAATTACCCCTTTTAACATTGCATCATTCTGGGACTAGCTTGACTTTGCTTTTGCATGCCTCTCCTTAATATACTTTTTCCATTTTAGATGCTGGATTTTGATACCCAAGAAAGTCCATTTTCCATATTATTTAGTAATGAATTAAAGTAGCCATTGAAACCTTCCAACTATGGTTTCTCCATACTGCCTCTTTGGATGCTTTCTTGGGTTCTGGGCCTGACCATCACCTTTGTCAAAATGTACACCTGTCCTTCTAAATAAAAATTAAAAGAACACAAGTATCTTGTTAGAAAACAGTAACATGAGGAGGGTGCATGACCAAGGATGTCAACAGGATTGTATCATTAGATCTGAGAGACCCACGGGATTGTGCCCTGGGTGTTCTGGGAAGTTAATCCACTGACACAAAGCCAGTTTGCTGCCGAGCACTCGCTATGGAGGAGGTGAGTTTTCAGAGTCGCAGCAGCACTTGGACATGTTGCTGGGTCCCACCACGTAGTGCCATTGCCAGCGTACTGCTTCTGCACAGCTCTCCTGTCTGATTGAACTAGTGTTATGTTCAACTCAAAAGTTTGTTATGAGCAAGAAGGAGACACACCTTGTATGTAAAGTCAGGATTTTATTGTTAGTGTAACAAATTTTAACAGTCTAATATATGAATTATTATTAGTCTAGATCTAATGACAAGAGAGGAGAGACAAGAAGAGAGGAGAGAAAAGAATACTACTATACTACTACAGGGGAAAAAAGCAATAAGGTAAAATTGATCTCTGCACACTTCCTACTATCTACCCCTTTTTTGATGTTATGCTCACATTTGCACTGATCCTCTGGGTCTAACGCTCAGTGGCTGCAGTGGGGGTAGTGAGGAAATATTGCCATCTGTCAGCATCCCAGGTCCTTCACTAGGATAAGCATGATGTTGATATTGTTGATTTATTTTTCCTTATTTTTTGCTTGATTATGGGCACTTTTGTGTTTGCTACCAACTTTACATTTTGTTTTTCTTCATTGGCCTTCAAATCCTACGATTACAACTGAATTTTCTAGTCATTAGAAACATTGCTTTCACAGCTAAAAAACCAAAGGGACAGCTTGAGGCAGGTTAAGGCAAGTTCAGACAAAGGAGTCCTGACAAGCCCAGTCCTGAGGCCTTACAAAGTCAGCATAAAGCCTGTGGCCTGTTGCTAGCCATGACAATACTGTATTTACTGGGCTATGATGCTACATTAGCCCTAGAGGTGTTTTCCTCTCACTACAGGCACTGCAGATAAATGCTCTACTTTGTACAGTGGTCACCTGAGCTGAATATATCAGCCTGATTCTGGATTTTGATCCCTTGTTGGGGATCCACCATCAGATAGAAGGGCAAAATAGATAGGACCTGGTTGGTAGGGCCACTTAATGCACATTTTAACTAATGCCAGGGTGCAGGGGGGTTGGGGTAGTCAAAAAATAGCACACAGCAGGCTGACAAACCACAAGCCTTGGGAGGAGTGAGGCACGAATTACAGATTTCCTTAAAATATCAATATTCTTTTGCTTTTTTCAACTTTTAGCCTTATCTGCAGAAACAAAATTTGATATGGCAAAGTGGTGCTTTATGGTTGATGCCCAATATCTTTACAATGGATGTCAGGTATGTCTTGATAATAGACTTTAAATTATTCTTTACAGTTGTTCAGCCAAAATATTTAAGTGCCTGTAACCACCTTTCACTTTTGGTGTTAAAGTTGGTCTCTACAACATTAAAAGCCCTATGAAACAGCAGCACTTCATCCTGCATGATTCTAGATACAAGCATCTCCTTTTTCTTGCACTAATTGGACTGCTGTACTCAGCAAGCCATTATCTGAGCAGACCAACAGCCTTCAAAAATAGCTGTGGAAAAAGACTGGATTCTAGTTTAGGAGCACTGGTAATGTGATAGTCACTATCACAAGGCCTGTGTAACACAGCCCAAGCCAAGCTGGAATATTGTACCAGTGAATGGCTCCAAATAACTCAAAGCAAGTAATACCTGCATAATGATTAACAAGAACAGTACCTTCATGTAACATAGCGAAGTTCAACATTATTAAATCTCCACACTGAGAATATTACCTCCACTTGGCAGGTGTGCCTTGAAAAGGGGGCTTTTTCCTGAGATACCTCAAGAAACTAAAGCTTTTGCATAGTTTTTCTATCTTTCATATATCTTTGACCAAGACTATCAAAGTTGCTGTTCTATGTAAATAATCACATTTTAAATAGTCTTCTGCTGGATCTTCGTCAAGGACATTCAGGAAAGAGATTTTTTTCCAACTGCTTAATAAATCTAAGGCATAAATATTTTTCTTTTATAAGAAGCAGTACAGACCTTTAGGGCTGACTTCATCACAAGTCCCCAGCAGAAGTCCCACACTCTGAGTGCAGGCTGTGGCAGTTTGGGTATGCAAACTCTTGAGTCCACGAGTAGGGAGGTGTCCAGGTGAAGTAATCAACCATAACACATTCAGTGGCAAATAGACCAGACTTTGATCAGGGAATCCCTGACTTTGCAGACTTGCCACATACATGCTTTTAGCTCTGGGCACATTGCTCAGCTCTGAAATGAGACAACATGTATGTCATTGTGTCTTGGAGTTCAAACCAAAGTTGAACCATTCTTCAAAAAGCTATGAAAATACATAAATTGCCATAGAAATACAGGCCTGGAAGAGGTCATCTACACTGAGGCAATGTCAATATTGTCAGTGGCAGGTAGTGGTTTAGCCTGTTCTTGAACATGCCTAATGAAAGCTGGTCTCTAATCTGCTGAGAGATCAAAAGGAACCATTAAAATAATCTGTTGTGATTTAACCCCAGCCCTCATGTGTTGCACAATTTTGCTTCCCCAACCACAGAGCTGTCTTGTGAGGTTGTACCAGAACTTTTAGGAAGATACTGAATCTGAAGTGCAGGAAATGCAGCAGATTATGCATCATAGCCGTAGCTAAGCAGATAATTATCTCACTGTCACAAACAATTTGCACTGTGTGTAAAAACAGGCCCCCAGAAACTGCCACAGCTTGTGGGGTGCAATACCACCAGGAGAGAGGCCAAGCTGGTTCTGGGCAGGCCACAACAGTGGCAAGTATGAGGCTGGTCAGTCTAGCACACAGGAGATACCACTGAATAACCGGATGTTGAGGCAATGAAAATAACTGCACTGAGTAAAAATGGTATCTTTTAAAATAATGAGAATAGAACAAGTTGTCTGCAGTCTTTCCAGTTGAGCTGGCTTTGTTGCATAGCTAACTTCCCACCGTTCTTTCAAGACTGTTCTCATAGAACAAAGGCATTCTGTGAAATCTCTGGTTTAGCAGAACTGCTTGAAAAGAGTGAGCAAGCGAGGGACTCTGGGATGGCTGCAGATGGGCAGGCAGTTGGGTGCACTGCCAAATTGGACTGGGCATCCAGAGGATTTCCATGCCTGTCCTGCCTGCCCTACCCTAGACCACCTACCCAGCCTGCCCAGCCCTGCCTGACTTGCCCGTCCTGCCCTGCCTGCTTGTATCTCGCTGCAAGTTGTGACAGAATTAACTCGCTCCTCAAAAATACTCCCTTATGTGAAATCAGCTTTCTCCTCCCACTGGTATAAAACTCTTCCAGTGGCAACTTGGGACCAGTTCCAACAACAGTCCTCAAAAATCTTGTGATCTTATGTTTATGGAGAGCTTAGTTTTGATTTTGTTTATTCCCTTTCAGAACAGCACTGCAATTTAAATGTGTGGGTGCAGTCCTTAATGGAAATTTGTGTTATCCTGTGCTCATTCCCCCAAGAGCAAGATTGCATTTGCAGCCACTCCCCAGAAGGCTCTGTGCTGATGCAGAAATACTCTTGTAATTCTGATGTAGTATAAATAATTGACATTTTTAATAGCTCTGGCAAATTTGTTACATGTAAATTCAAGCCTAGCTGATTTGGGCAGTTTCTGCCTTCCTCGCCCCCTTGTTTTCTCTTCCCCCTTTTCTGATTTTAATTTCCTTTCAACAATGTTCTGAATATGAACAAAAAACTTTAAAGAAGAATAGAGATGAGGGCATGTCCTGCAGTATTTCTCCTTTATCAAACATCCAAGGGATTTAGCTTATGAAAGGGGTAAGTCAGCAGCAGGCGAGGAGCTGTGGCTTGCTCTCACAGCACTGTCGGGCACTCAGCAATACACCACCAGCAGCTCCTGCAGCACAGTGCACTCTAAAATGGACAGGGGCTGAGCCTGAGACCATGCCAGGCTGAATAATGCCACTTAGACAATGATGGTTGCAGCATAAATTAAAAATCTTCTCTCTGAAAATACAGGATAAAGTGAAGGAAACTGTCTGCCAACAGCAAATAAGATGGGACCCTTGTGCAAGGAGGTTCACTTGTTTTTAAAAAACCTACATGATGAGATTATTTTTACTTTTTCCACCCGCAAGTCCAAGAGTAGTGCACAGTTATGGAGGTCCTCGCTGGTGTTCTCCCCCGTGCTGCTGAAGAGCTCTAAAGGTATGCACACATACTTCTTTCTTCAGCCTAGGCAAGGTGCCAGTGGGTTGTTTCCCTTCTCACTGTTCAAAAGAACCTCCCTGCTGGCATCAGTGGGGCTTCTTGTCTAAGTCAGGGAGTCCAGGTTGTGCCCTAAAGTCTGTTCTTTCATTGAACATCCACCCTCTGACTTCACCAAAACATCCCAGGGTCTATAATGTGATGTAATGTGCTTCTTTTTAACGGTAGGAAGGGAAGACCTTGACCTGATGCTGGGTGCTATGTGTGTTGTTTTGTGCCTCAAAAATGCCTCAGTTTTTCTGGAGTCTCCTGGTTCTTTACTGTGATGTAGCAGGTCTTTACTGATGTTGTCTTGCATATGAGCTGTTACAGAAAAATGGTGGTGTGCTGACCAAACCCACACTTTTTAAAAAGGCGAGGCTACAGTGCCCAGCTACCAGCAGTTAGTTTGACAGGTCCAGGCCTCTAACTCTTGTCCCTAAACCATGGTCCTTGCAGTGAATTATGCTTGGCTGGAACCCCTCCTGTGGTGCTCCAGCTGTGGGGGGAGTCCCAGCAGGAACCAGCAGCCCTTCCCACCCTGGCCAGCACATCAGACCTGGTGCCAAACTCTGGAGAGGCCTGGCTGTTTTTACCCAGTTCCTTTGTGCTTGGACCACCAGCAGGAGAACCCAGGCTCTCCCCTGGCCTTCCGTCTCACAGCTGATGGACCCATGTGGTCCCATGCTGGGGCTCTCAATTAAACCCCATTTCCATCCAAACTTGCTTCTTGTTAGGAGGTCTTTCCGCCACAGAGAGCAAGGGCATCACAGTCAGTGCTCACATCAGCACCTGCAACATGCACCTTTAAGGGTGCCAGGGGCCACTAAACAAATGCGAGTAGCTGCTCAGTTTCCTGCTTATCCAAAGAGTGCTGGAATTTGGCAGTTTAGGTGGGCAAGGGTGTTACTTCCATGTCCTAGAGAAGCTCGAGTGAGCAATCCCGAGTGTGCCTGTAAAGCTAAAGGAAGGGGATGGACGGGAAGGTGGGCTCTGCAGCAGGAGGGTGAGTGTGCGCAGCAGCCGGGGGGCTGCACCCATCCATCACCCCAGACCCCCGTGCAAAGGGGGACGGGGAGGACCGGGCGGCGGTGGCCGATTCGCGCCGGAGCTGGGTTTGTGCCGCTGGGGCCGCAGTAACAACCTGCCCCTGCGGGGGCTTCGGAGGCCCCCACCTGGGTGCGCGCCCCCGCGCCGACGGGCCCTCTCTTTGTGGCCGCTTTTCTCCCTGCTCGCCCGTGCCCGGGTGTCTCCCGGGGCTGGGCTGAGGCTCGGTAACTGGGCGAGGAAGGGTGTCCCGTCGGGACAGACGGGCCGCGGCCGCTTGGGCCTTGCGCGCCGCCGTAGAGCGACCCGCTCCGCCCGCCCCCGGCATGGCCGCC